TTTTTCCCTTGACTGTAAGTGACCTTCCTTGATGTTTCTGTATCTGTACAGAGATCCAAACAAAGATCTGTTACTTGTCTCTAATCCCACATTATTTTTGCAGTGGATATGGGCTGTAAGACCACAAAAGCTCTCTATTTTACTTATAGCATTTATGATGGCTCAATTTAGTTGCCAACTAACATGTTTTGTTGTCGTTAACTAGTTAGCATGCATAGTTGTTCAGGGGGGGGAAATTCAAAATGGGAAGCTTGATTTAAAGCAATTATTTTTCTGTGCTTTTTCTTTGCAATTTTAATTGCCTAATTTAAATTAACTGCAGAATTTGGGACCCGCCAAACTAAGCACAGCCCTCTGTCTGTTTGTGATATCCGAGTGATATTGTAAAACAGGATTTGTTCAGTACACACCAGCCTACAATGCATGGTTGATGAATTGTTTAGCTTGATGTGTTATAAGTTGTGGAAGCCTGCTCTAAATCAATGGGATTACCCATACTGATTAAACTTATGCTCATTGATGAAACTGAACTTGACTGTTCTAGTTTGCAGGACAATTACAACAACGGGAGGAAATTATAGATTCCAGTAACTAGTTTTTTGCAATTTCAATTTTAGGTCATGATCTGAGTCTATGATAAATACCTTAATAGGAAATTCAACAACTCTCCTATTTTTTTATTAAGAATAGGGCACAAAGAAACAACCAAACTGTCATATGCTTTTCAACGCTGAAGGTGTGGTTCTGCTAGAAAAGGACTAGATTAAAAGAAGGATAAAGGTGTACCTTCTATTTCAGCCAGGCAATATAATGGAAAGTAGAGTACTAATGAAAGCAGTAAGAATTCACTGCATCATACTTAAAAAGACAACACTAAAAAGGTATTTTTCATTCATGCCATAGATGATCAAAGTCAGCATCATACAAAATCATATGACGGACAAACAGCTTATTACAGATCATCAAGCCTATAACTTTTTAGTGTAAACCTTCGACTTATATTGCTTATAAGAAAGCAAATCAAAGCAAGTGTTAAGCTATTATTGGAGCTATACTAGGAGCCAGTGGGCTAGCAATAAACATCCTGAAAGGTAGAAGCTTTCCCTAGTTTATTCACAAGTGAAATGGTGGGCAAAAAAAATATTATACCTTCATAATTATTTGGGGGCTGCTGACTCAAATAAAACTGATTCTGATCCACATACATGTAACTGGCCTTCCCTAGTTTGGAATAAAGTTTAACTGAAAGTGAGAGCACAACATAGTGACTTATGGAATTCTGCTAAGTGTTTCATGCTACCCCAGTACAGCAGTATAGGGTGATGCTACTATGTGCATATATACCACCACTACAATATACCAGATGCACCACTACTCATCATTAGAAGAGATGATGACTTGTCATCTCTAAGACATTAGGCTAAAAGCATCTTAGCCTAAATGGTGGGGATGTAGCCACACATACTTGTGATATGCTCCTACTGATATGCTGCACTGCCATTATGCGGCACAGGATGGAGTCAATGCAGCTACATGAATACATAGGGTAACAGTGAATTCCTATAATTATTAATGCTAGGGTTACCTTGGGCCAGTCACTGCCCCTCAGCTAACCCACCTCACCGAGTAGTTGTGGGGATTGCCATATACATCACCTTGAGCTCCTTGGAGAAAAAAGGTGGGATACAAATACAATAAACAAAAACATTATCTGTGGGACCGTTACTTACAAATATACTTACATCTTTTGCCATGTTACTTAATCCAAGAAATCAGTTCTTTACTTGCTTGATTGCCACAGGTACAGGAACAGTAGCACTGTATTCTAAAAAAACGATAAATTAAAAGAGAAGAACTTGGTTATTGCAGGGAAACACATTTTAAAATTGAGATGGCTACATTTTCTTGACTTTCAGCACGGGGTTGTAAAAGTAAGTTACAGTCTGAAAGACCCAACTTAAAGCCTTCATAAATTAAGAGCAGCTCCGTCTCCAAAGCGTTTGGCCCCTGATCTTCTGAGAATATAAAGGCAAGATGGCCTGAACTGACAGGATCATAGAGGTGGGGATGGGGAGTTGCACCCTGTCCAGCTATGCGCTGGATGACTGAAAAGCATAAATATGCCTCCTGCATAAATCTGCACACAACCCCCTTCCAAGAAGAAGGGGGAGCGGGGTGGGGGGGCTTTGCTCCTGACCCATTAACTGCAGAACAGTTGCTAGGCCTCAGGGGCCCAACCCCCTACTACACTCCCCCCCCCAACGCTGAACAAAACACACACTGCTTCTCCATGCGAACATGCAAGCAGGCCCTGGAAATTTACATGCTGCTTCGGGGGGCGGGGGGAGGAAACTGGTCCTGAGAGTCCCTGTGAAAACCAGGCGAAGCAGCATCTGCGCTCCACAGAACAACTCCCGCCAGCCCCCGCCTCCTGCACCTTCCCGCCCCCTCTCCAGGGCCTCAGAAGCCCGACCAGAGCCCGGGGAGTCTGAGGCTGGAGGGAAGAGACGGGGGGCCACCCAGGCACCAACCTCACCCTCAGCAGACCCTCCTCCTCGCCCGCCCGCCCCGGGGAAGGGGGGAGGGAAGAGACCGGGGCAGAAGGAGAGAGGGGAGGAAGGAGGAAGAGGATCCTCGCCTTAAACCGTCCCGCCTAAGCGCTTCCCACCGCCGCTGCCTCCTCCTCCTCTTCGTCTCCCACCTGTCTTCCTTCTCGGTCCCTGCAACCCACTCCCCTGCCCGAGGCGCCGACGGTACCTGAGGAACTAGAGGAGGAGAAGCAGGGAGCAAACTCCATCCCCCACAACACACTCCCGAGCAATCCCCCACCCACAGCGCCGCTCTTGCACGGAAAGAGAGAGATGCCAACTGCACATGTGCAATGCACGGCCCTCCTCAAAACCCCCTCGGGGGTGGGGAGAAGCAGCCGAGGAGCAACACCATCACCTCTAGGCTTCCTCCCCCCCTCCTCCCCCTTGCAAGGCAAAGCAGCTGTGTTTGTGGGGAGATAAGGTTGAGAGGGGGGGCACCTATCTGCTCTCCCCCCCCCACAACCTCCGGCCACAAACATACACACACTCGTTCAACTGCACCAGAATGAACTCTGCCAATAATTACGAAGCGACATAAGTGTGCATGGGAAATGTTAATAAGAAGTTGCCCCCCTTCCCACACGTCTTTCCACCCCTTTCCAGCGCCTCTCCACCCCCAACCCCTCGCTTTGCAAGCCTCTTTTCTTTTCTTGGTTCCAACAGTTTCCAGAAAGTGTGAAGTTTTCCTGAAGCAAAGGAGGGGACACTTTTTTGGGGGGGTGTCGTCCCCCCCCAACACGAGTACATTTCAGCCATCCCTAAAGGCTGCAGCCGTGTGCAGGCTTACTTGGAAGCAAGCTCCACCGAGACTTTTGCATGCTTACTGGATAAAAAAGCAGACATGCAAAATAATAATAATAATAATAATAATAATAATAATAATAATAATAAAGGATCGGCCTCAATCCTAAACAAAGCTTTTACCTGGGAGTAAATCGAACTTAAAATTAGCCGCTCTTTCTTCTTCTACCGTACTCGGGGTGCAGAGCTGCGATCCGATGCACAATTGCTGATTACTTGGAAGCAAGCCCCCCCCCCCCGCTTACTTTCGGGTAAACATGCACGGGATCGGGTTGCAGGCAACAACCCCTCCTGCTCCTCCTCCTCGCGAAAGCGCCATCATTCCCTGCCCCTGCCAAAGCTCACCCAGCCAAGCCGCGCTCTCCTTCCTGCCTCGCTTTGCTGCCTCCTCCCCCCCACCCCCAAAGCTTGGAGGTTCCCCGGCGCCTACCCGCAGGTTTGACCCCCTCCTCACACCTGTTCGCGCTCCTTGCACGGAATGGGGCGGATGGGGAGGAACGGGGCTCGCCGCTGCCTCCGCTCGCCCTCCCCCCCTCCGCCGGCGGTCCCGCGATTCTTGGCTTTTTGGCGGTTGGCACAGAAGGAAGGCAAGGGGGAGGGAAAAAAATTGAAACTTACACTTTCGTGCGTCCCTCCCGGCGTGACGCTGCGCGCTGACGTCACGGGGCTGTAACGTGCCCCACATAGGCACACGCGGGGCGGCGAGCGAGCTCCCTCCCACATCCCATCGCCGCTCTGCCGCACGCTCGCTCGCTTCGGCCGGCCTACTGGGCTGTCGCAGGCGGAAGGCCCGCGCATGCGCGAGGTTTTCGCGCCTTCGGGATTCCCTTCACGCCTTCCTCCTCCCGGGGCCTTGAGAGCGCGGGAAGCGGCAGCGCAAGACCGGCCGTTGAGCCGCCCTCGGGGACCTCGCGGCTTCCGCTTTTGCGTGTGCTGCCGTCACTCTTCCTGCCATTCCCACGGGGGAAATGTATAATTCGTGCCCATAATACAGGCAGTAAAAAGTGTTCTGTATAACGACTACCCCGCCTCTCCCCCCATCTAAACCCATTTTTTATTCCTTTGCAGAAATGAGCCGTTGCATTGAGCTCACACAGTATGCATGTTTTTGCACAGAATGATGTTTCTCCACCTTTGTTTATTTGCTACCACTAGGCATGCATAACGAGCTGTGTAAAAGTGACTTTGCAAAGCATTTACGACACATACTTGGACATGAGAGAACAGAAGTGGTTCACTTACATGGGGTGGGGAAGGGAGCAAGCTATTTTGGAAGTGGGCGGACATTTGTCCAAAGCAAATATACCTCATGCTACAAATATTGACAAGGGATTGCTGATCTTATTATTCCCATACCAGTCTTAAGGTTAGGATGGGCTTAACAGGACATCCTACAAATTAGACAGAAAGATGTTAGCCCCCTTGCTATTACATAAATAACACGTGTTGCAATGGAGGAGGGCAGGGGAAACAAAACTGGCACTCATTCTTGCTACAGAACTAAAAGATTTATCCGCTTTTCTCCTTTTTCTCTTGGGTGGTGTGTTAAGCAGTCACCCTAAGGGAAAACAGACCCCCCCCCCTTAGAGGAAATGGACTGATCGGAACTCTCTGTGACATCAGCTCAGAATCCCAACCTCACTTTGCAGTTGAGGCCAACTCCAGTCTAGGCTCAACAGCCTTTGGGTGGCTTAGCTGTGACAGAATCGGAAAAACTGGGGCTTCAAATTTATTTTAAAAATCACGACAGATTAGAGAGCGAGAAAGCGGGAGTGACAATCAGCAAAGTCTGAAGATTAACGTCTGGGAAAATGGTGAGGGGACCAGCAGGAAATTGCTAAGGGAGTTTTGAGTCCTTTTATTCTGTTGCAGTGGCAGAGGAAGGGGGGTGCGGGTGTTGGGGGCCGCCCCAGGTGTCATCGCTGAGGGGGATGGCAAAATGACAAAAATACGAGTTAAGAAATATAATAATATTGGTCTCACAACACTTTTAGTTCAGTCAACAAACGTGGCTGGCACTGGGCGCCACACGGGGCCCAGCACTTACCGCAGGCCCTACAGTGCGCCCAAACCACTCATCTCTCCTGGGAGTGACGTGGTGGCTTGGGCGCCTGCAGGCTTGGTGCTGCCTGAAACGGCAGCATGGGGCTTGCGTCTGACCACTGCCTCTCCCTCAGCCGCTCTGCAGCTGAGAGGGAGGCGGCGGAGAGGCTCCATGTAGTGCCCCCCGCCTGCAGGACTGCCAAAATGCACTGGGCACCTGAGCGGCTAGTTATGCTGCTGTTCTGTTGTTTCGATTATGGGTGCTTTGAGAGTTAATATGCTGTGCTTGCTGCCTCACTCGTCCTGATGGACCAGCCCCCCCATGGCGCCAGGGCTTTAGGGCTTCCCTGGAAAGCGGCTCAAAGCGGGCAGGAGAGTTTGGCTTCTGGGTTCCTACCTGTCTCATTTTGGGTTGCTGTCCATCTCCCCTCTCCCCACCACCTCTGCCACCACCTCTGGGCTGGTTCCTCCATCCTGTCTATGCCAACAGTCATCCTCTGAGGACAGAGATCCCTACAACAAAATGGCTGGCAAGGAGGACGAGTCAAAGGAAGAGCCAGGCAGCCCCCTGGAGGAGGAAGGTGAAGGTAAGGAGGAGACCCCCCGAGACCCCAGTGTACAGATTTGCTCAGTCCTGAATGGGTTGGTGGCCTAAGGGGCGATTGGCAGAAAGGGAGGGGGGCATATCAACCGCAGAATGGAAGGCAGCTGGAGGCCTTTCGATGGTGACCTCCCCCCCCCGGTTATATTAATTTATTAATTAATTAATACTACCACGATAATCACTTCTACCCCCCTCTTCAGTAAAAAGGCTCCCAGAGCAGCTTGCAGCTCAGTAAAATGCAATACACTTCCGCTGCCCTCAGCCTGTCAAACTGAAAGATGCAACACAAAAGGAAAGAGGGATGAGGAGGGAAGAGGTTATATAATGTGGGAAACATGAGGCTGGACTAGGCAGATCTTTCCTACGAGTTATTTAGGAAATACGAGATCCTCTGAGGACATCTTGGCCTGCTCTGTCCTTCCTATTTCTTTGTGTTGCTATTTTTGTTTTGTTTTTGTCCCACAGCTTCAGGAAATGGAAGAGGGGTCCCTCCAGGAGTGGCCTGGAAGAGAAGATAAATTTGAGGCGGTGGGCCCTTAAATAGGGTTGCCATATTTCAAAAAGTAAAAAAACAGACACCCAGGCCAATGGCCCACCTAGTCCAGAATCCTGTTCTCACTGTGGCCAGCCAGGTGCCCAAAGGGGGAACCCCCAAGCAGGATCCACAGTATCCATAGATTTAGGAATAAGGAATGAAATTTAAATGGAAACACAAGCCATCATTCCACATTCAGGACTGAGAACTAATAATATAAGTTATTACTTGTAAGGTCAAAAAAAAATGGAGAATGATTTCACTTCTTGCTTCACAATTATGGTTTCCACACTTCCACAAATAAATGCAAAGATGAGAATGTGAAGGGTTCCAGTCGTTGACACAGGTTCAGTTTCCTTGAAATGAAGGTCAGCAGAGACCATGGTGTCTTCAGGATGCATGGTTTTATATGTACAAGTACAACCTGAGCAGGGGATCCACAATCCAACAGATCTTGCCTCTCCATTAAGTCCTTATTTTATTCTGTTGCAGTGGCAGAGAAGGGGGGGTGCGGGTTGCCCAGGATGTCATCATTGAAGGGGTAGCAACGTGACAAAAAGCTGAGTTAAAAAATAAAATAAAATTGGGCTCACAAAACTTTTTAATTGTGTCAACAAACGTAACAAAATGCGGCTGGCACTGGGCTCCACACTGCGGGGACCGGAACTTACTGCAGGACCTGCAGCGCACCCGAACCACACTGCTCTCCTGGGAGTGATGTGGTGGCTTGGGCACTTGCAGGCTCAACGCTGCCTGAAATGGCAGCGTGGGGCTTGTGTCTGCCCACCGCCTCTCCCTCAGCCACCCTAGAGCGCCCCCCTTCTGCAGGATGCGAGCCTTGCACCGGGCACCTGAGTGGCTAGCTACACCGATTTATATTGCTTCAGTTATGGGTGCCTTGAGTTTTAATGTTTGGTTGTGTTTTTTAATTGCTTGTCTTTTGCATTGTAACGTTCATGATACTGGTTTTTATATTTTGGAAAGAGCTGTTATATGGCACACGAATTACTTCTCCCTCTTCCTCCGCAGTTGCCGTGATCTTCGTCAGAGTGCTCCCTTGTCTACATCTGACAGTTTGGGGGACTCCCTCAATGAGGTATGTAGCAGACAGAGCAGGAGGAAAGCTCTGCTGAGCTGCACAAAGGCAAACCTGGGACTGGGGAGGAAGAGGAGGAGGAGGAAGAGGAAGCTGGCCTACCGGCCAGGCCACATTCTAGACTGGTCGTGAGCAAGGGGACAGACATCTTTATCTCTCTGGGCATTAATAGGTTCTAGGAGAGTGGTTAAAAACCAAGTAAGTCACAGGGGTTTTTCTTTCCACCGAAAGTTGTGAAAGGAATTGATTTTGATTTCAAAATTTGAAGAGAATAAAGTTAGGAAAAATGGTTTTAAGTGCTTATGCTCACAATGTTAAGTAAATAAACTAGAAAATAACACTTGCAACGGTAAGTACCTTATTTTGCCTTCTTTTAATAATTTCAATGGGGGGGACACAAATTTTCCGCACCGGGTACCACCTGACCTTGCTACGCCACTGGCTACAGCACATGCAGCAACAAAGTATGGATTTTTGGAAGCTGCTCAGAGCCACTATAGCTACATATAGAATACCACTAAGATTGTTAAAGAATCACATTTTCAATATTAGACTTGGAATCAAATAAGGTGGAATAGTTCACCATTTAGTATGTGTCTTTATAAGAATTAAAGACATGGACTTTCCAGTATTTATTCAATGTGACTAGATTCTGAGTTTTTCCTTCTTGCTATATAAATGATGATTTATCCAGTGAAGCAACACAAACCTAAACGTATCTTCCAAAAATAGTTTTAATTTAGTTTCAATGTATATGTTTTGGTTTTGAACTATTAACATGATCAACACAATAAATTCTTGCTATTCATACTAAAAAGTCATTTCTGATCACAACAAACATTTTTGTCAAAAAAATGTGAGACAGATCAATGTTACAAATAACTACCAGTAGCACCTTAAAGACCAACTAAGTTAGTTCTTGGTATGAGCTTTCGTGTGCATGCACACTTCTTCAGATACACAGACCAAATTTTTGTTTTTGACATGGCAGACCAACACGGCTACCTATCTGTAACAAATAACTACATTATTTAAAATGCATCAATTAAGTGTAAATTTAGGCATATTAACTTTCAGTCCTTTGATAGCTGTAGTAGTTTTCAAGCTTATATTTGAATGAAAATAATTAAAGTTTGTATAGCACTGAAAATATATATATATACTGTGGCCGTTAGATTTGGATACTAACTTATGACATAGTTCTTTAACAGTGCCACAGGCACTATAAATGTTAATTAAACTTACTACACTGACTGTAAATAACAGGTTGTATCCAGCACTACACATGTGCAAGTGGAATAGACTTCTACTCACACTATGGGACTTCAGTTTCCTCTCCCGCAGGCCCCTGTGTACCTCAAAATCTGCTCCAGGAATGATTGGGGTGGAGCATAGGGGGAAAGAAAGGTTGGTGAAATCCCGTTGTGTGATCAGTGTCTTTCTTATGCAGTGCAGGATTCTGCCTGATTCTCACAAAAAGGCACACCAGTCAGTTATTGGAATTGCAGACTTTTTGTAAAAGAAATAAAGATTTTTTGTGGGGGCGGACACACAGGCTCTTCCTCCCAAATTCAGGCTATGTAGTGTGGGAAATTCTGCATTTGTTGATTATAAAGATGCTTTCTTCATGAAAGATTTGTACTAAGTAACTTTAGGAAATTAATCGTCTTTCAGGTCTTGGTACGCATTTCATAATCGCAGCTCTCCAGAGTGCTGGTGCCAGCAATTGGCTTAGAGTAGTCACACTCAATATAAGGAGGTAGACCTAAAAATTGGGAAGCAAAATGTGTTATTTCTGTGAAGAAAAACAATCTTAGCAGAAACCCACTAAAGTATTCCAAGAGATCCTTCCACCAAGGCCAGTGTCTTCTATTCTGACAGTGGCTCTAGGCTAGGGTCTTGGGCAAAGGTCTTTCCCAGCCATGCTCCTGTGCATGCAAAGTACATTATATGACGTAATTATATTTGCACACTTGTGATAGTCTTAATCCATTTTTTTTCCAAAATCATGACATTTGCCGTGTTGCAGCCTTTGAATAATTTTGCCACAATACTTTTCAAAGGCATCACTTAAATGGGTGGAAATTTTTCTTGTACTAAAATAATACTCAGAACTGGCAGGTCATAAAAGTTCCATCTGGAGAAGCCATGACATCTTTACCTACCCAAACGCACAGACAGATCAACGTTAACAAGAGAGTTTGAGAGATCAGGTGAAGAAGTAAATATTACTGGAGTAATGAAGTGTAACAGGCCATCTGATAGTTTTCGCTCTATATTTTTTTAATCCCCTTTTTATCAAGTGGCTCTGAAACTGCTCCACTGGGTTGCCCATTATCTGCAAGCATTATTAATATAGTTTCATTTACCAGAGGTCTCTTAAGATCTCAGCAGTCCTCTTCATCCGTCTGGGACCCATCCTTAGGCTTCTCACTCACAGAAACATTAGGTTGCTTCTGATGCTACAGCATGAAGGTAACTAAGACAATGGCAACTAGAGACAACGTAACCTACCACCCAAAGGGACGCGGGTGGCGCTGTGGGTAAAATCTCAGTGCCTAGGACTTGCCGATCGTCAGGTCGGCGGTTCGAATCCCCGTGGCGGGGTGCGCTCCCGTTGCTCGGTCCCAGCGCCTGCCAACCTAGCAGTTCGAAAGCACCTCCGGGTGCAAGTAGATAAATAGGGACCGCTTACCAGCGGGAAGGTAAACGGTGTTTCCGTGTGCTGCGCTGGCTCGCCAGATGCAGCTTGTCATGCTGGCCACATGACCCGGAGGTGTCTGCGGACAGCGCTGGCCCCCGGCCTCTTAAGTGAGATGGGCGCACAACCCTAGAGTCGGACACGACTGGCCCGTACGGGCAGGGGTACCTTTACCTAACCTACCACCCCACTTATGCAGCAGATACTTATTCAATCCCACAAGTAGATCACCACACAATGCTTAAAAAGAAAAGATGGTCATTATTGTTCTATTACCAGGACTTGGAAGATAGCACAACCAAGCTCAATATGCAACAAGCAACATTTTATGGCAAGCCACGCCTTCTTATTCCTTTAATTATTACCCATCCAACTTGCCCTTTAATATTTGTCAATCTACAGCTAAAATGCTACTAGAGGTTGAGGCTGGCTGAGTCCAGCTTTTGGAATACATGTATTTGACATGGCCTAATGAAACTTTTGTGCAAATTTCCCATTAAAGAAGAATGAACCCCCAAACAGCCTTGGGAGGTTGCAAGGTAAACCAAATGCAGGAGCTAGAATCTCTTCTCCCTTCTGAAGTTTTTGTTTCTTCCCATGGGTGGGGAATGCAGGCCACTATTTTGCAAGGGGGAAAACAGCTGGGTGGGTTTGAAAAAGAAATAGAATAGAGGTAAAATGTTAACCAGCTCTTCCCCCTCCCTTTCTTCTGCTAATGAAGCATTAAGACTCCAAAGCTGTTTCTATTTAAGAAGGGGGAAAAGCTTAAAGAAGCTACTGACAACTGTGTATATAGCACCCAGTCTCAACATCCTTTGACCATTTTACCATATGGTTTTATTACATGCTTCAAAGTGTGAAATGGCTTTATGGCTGTGTGGGGATTTGAACAGTGGACTCTCCTCACCCCTAAGTCTGGCGCTTTAACCACACCACCAGCCTGGCTCTCCATGATATGGCTTTATGATGTCATAGCTTACCTCTCGAGAAATTATGCCCGCTCTGCGCGCTCTGCTTCCCAAGACAAAGGAAAATTCACTGACTTGAGCCAAGCCTGCAGATACAATCCATTTGATGTACTGACTGCTCTTTGGAAGAATCATAGAAAGGACAAGCACTGCCAGGAAAAACTGAGAGAGAATGTTTTTAACAATGCAGTGGAAAAAACAGGAAAGTTTATGCTGCTTAAAATAAATAAAATAAGATTAAGAAGTTATTTAATTAACCACAGTTAACTAGTTTATACTGATTAGCAGAACAGAACAGGTCAGATTGTAATCTAGGTGATCTTTAAACAGCATACTAGATTAAATTTAAAGTGTTTAGGGTTGTATCTCAGCTTTGTAACAATGAGAAAGCTGCTCACACAATAAGGCTGTCCTTTTCCCCACTGCAGACACACTGTGCCTTCCAGAGCCTCTGCTGAGGGGCAAGGCGTCCCACAGGTGAGACCAGGAATGTGGTGCAGGGGAATTAGTGAAAACTGGGGAGATTCCAAACAAATTTTTCCATTGCAACTCCTGCACCACATTCCAGCTTCCAGGAGAAGCTTTTTGCAATGCTGGTGGCTGCAGTAGTGAAGACTTCATAAGAAAGTTGCTGCTTAAGTAGAACAACTCCTGAAAGAACTGGACACAATTCTTTCTCAGTGATTTCAATAACATGGGCTTTAACTTATAATGCCTGCTTAAATTTTATGGTTCTGGAAAAGTTTCAGTCTGGTAAAAAAAAAAAACCCTCTACAAATGTATATGAAATAAGAGAAAAAGCTTACTGGCTTGTGAGTTGCATTTCTTTTAGCAGTTTGTACACTTCTGATGGGATTAAATATAGCTTCTCTTCGTATATTTTAAGCCAATCTAGTGCTTTATACTAACATTAGAGATCAAAACTATATTAAGCATAATATATTAGGGAGGCTTCCCTGGCACCGATGCAGATACCTTTTCAGTACTACGTGAATATATTTCTCTGTTCCCAGACATTTAGTTGCTAGTTTTCCTGCTGTCATTGCTGACATTTTATCTGAGTAATCTTCTGTAGTTGGGCAATTGTTCTGACAACGGAATCTGATAACTTTTTAAATATTATATTGTTTAATATAGAATTTCAGCCTATATATCTCACATTGGTATCTTACTGTTGTTGTTTCTTTGACTAATACAGATACAGTGGTACCTCGTGTTACGTACCGCCCCCCCCCTTATGAAATGCTTCGGATTATGAATTCCGCTAACCCAGAAGTAGATGCCCCTTGTTGCGAACTTTGCCCCAGAATGTGAGCGGAAGTTGTGCTCTGGCAACGTGGTGGCAGCGGGAGGTGCCATTAGCGAAAGCGCGCCTCATGTTATGAGCGGTTTCCGGTTACAAACGGACCTCTGGAACGGATTAAGTACGTAACACGGGGTGCCACTGTAGTAATGATTAATAAATTACTACTGCATTATCACAATCTGCATTCAGCAGCCTGAACCAGAGCCAAGGCTGCAGTCCTAATCTCACAAAACTGGGAGTATGCCCCACTGAATTCAGTAGGACTTTTGAGTAGACATGGATAGGAGTAAAATAGAAACCTGTGGTTAGGTTCTTGTGGAAAAAAATCATCAGTTGTGTCCTTCATCTAGCATTCTTAAGCCACAGAATACCAGTTTCAGGGAATGGGGTTGCAGTCACCATAGTAACATAATACAAAATATCAATCTTATTCAATTTTATTCTAAAGTACTGAATATATATATATACCTTCATTATTACCACTGAAAATGTAAGGAACAGCAAGACTGTGAGTTCATATATTACAAATGTAGGGAAAACATGAAGACCTGCAAGAGAAAAAGAAGCATCTTACAGCTATTGTGAGCTTTTTCTAAACATTGCAATATTTATAAAAGAGCACAGTGATGAAATATTGACAGGAATCTTTCTTAAAGCTTGTTGTTGAGTTAAGCATGCCATATTAAAGAATAATATTTTAGATGTTTTCATTTTACCCATGATATTAGAGAGGTTGCATAATTCAGGTGGAAGTACCATCCACCAGATGCAGTATTTCAGCCTACAGAGTTTGCTGTAGATGCTGTCTCTAAAGCATAGTAGTGATGCTTACTAGCTGGTTGTTCGTGAATTAGGTAAAAAAAAAAAATCCTTTCAGTAATGTTACTAGGTGACTATCTTCACTGAGCTATCAACTGTGACCCAAGATCTCACTTTTGGTCAGTTACTGCCAGCACAGACCTCATGAGCGCATATGTGAAATTAAGATATTTTTGCCCCTACATGCATCACTTCACACTTGTTTATATTGAATTGCATTTGCCATTTTACCACCCATTCGCTCATTAAAGAGATCCCTTTGAAGCATTTCACAATCCCTTTGAACCGACCCCAAACAGTGTTGAATCATCAGCAAACTTGGCCTCCTCACTGCTCACCTCTAACTCTACATTGCTTGTGAACATGGCCCAATACAGATCCTTGGGAGGATTCCACTTCCCACATTCCTCGATCAGGACAACTATCCATATATTCGTACTCTGCTTCCTGTTATTTAACCAGTTCCTGAGCCACAAGAGGACCTTGCCTTTTAGTCAATGATTGCTAAGCTTACTCAGGAGTCTTTCATGGAGGTACAGTACCTTGTCAAAAGCATTTTAAAAGTTCAGATGCACTATGGCAACTGGATCATATATGTCTATATACTTGTTGACACTCAAAGTAATAGGTTAATAATAATAATAATAATAATAATAATAATAATAATTTATTATTTGTACCCCGCCCATCTGGCTGGGTTTCCCCAGCCACTCTGGGCGGCTTCCATAGAAACCAAAAACCCCACTAAAATATCATACATTAAAAACTTCCCTGAACAGGGCTGCCTTAAGATGTCTTCTGAATGTCAGGTAGTTGTTTATCGTTTTGACATCTGATGGGAGGGCATTCCACAGGGCAGGCGCCACTACCGAAAAGGCCCTCTGCCTGGTTCCCTGTAGCTTTGCTTCTCGCAATGAGGGAACCGCCAGAAGGCCCTCGGCGCTGGACCTCAGCGTCCGGGCAGAACGATGGGGGTGGAGACGCTCCTTCAGGTATACTGGGCCGAGGCCATTTAGGGCTTTAAAGGTCAACACCAGCACTTTGAATTGTGCTCGGAAACGTACTGGGAGCCAATGTAGGTCTTTCAAGACCGGTGTTATGTGGTCTCGGCGGCCGCCCCCAGTCACCAGTCTAGCTGCCGCATTCTGGATTAGCTGTAGTTTCCAAGTCACCTTCAAAGGTAGCCCCACGTAGAGCGCATTGCAGTAGTCCAAGCGGGAGATAACTAGAGCATGCACCACTCTGGCGAGACAGTCCGCGGGCAGGTAGGGTCTCAGCCTGCGTACCAGGTGGAGTTGGTAGACAGCTGCCCTGGATACAGAATTGACCTGCGCCTCCATGGACAGCTGTGAGTCCAAAATGACTCCCAGGCTACGCACCTGGTCCTTCAGGGGCACAGTTACCCCATTCAGGACCAGGGAGTCCTCCACACCAGCCCGCCCCCTGTCCCCCAAAAACAGTACTTCTGTCTTGTCAGGATTCAACTTCAACCCCGATGGGGTGTACCCTTGCATAAGCCGTGCTGGTTTTGCTTCAGCAACAACTTGTTCTTTTATATACTTGGCCATTTTATATTTAAGAATACTTTCCACAAGTTTTCCTGGGACATGCATAAACCTAACCAGCCCAAATTTCCAAGATTCCCCTGAATCCCTTTTTAAAAATTGGTGGTACATTGGCCACTTTCCAGTCCTCAGGTATAGAAGCTGATTTGAGGGATGTTACATAGGTTCCAATTTCTTGATCCACCTTGCTCCTAGATACCATGTCACCTTCGCTCCTGTAACTATTGGGACTTCTTTCCAGTCCCTGAGCTGTGTGATGTTTCAGTTCAGTTACAAACTGACAACTCCCCTTTCCCTCAGAGAATGTGAACTGCAAACACTCTGGGACATAAAGAGCTACTTTGGTTCACATAAGGAACTTTTATCAATCCAGCTCTTCAATTCCATTTCTTTTTATACAGTTCTGCATTCTATATCACAAACTGCTTGAAAGTCACTTTAATTTCATAGTTAGTTTGTCATGTATCATGGTGGTTACAGATCAAGAATAAGCCTAATGACTTTGGAAGATCCATAGTTCTTCAGAGTCTAGTCCAATAGTTTTGTCTACCTGAATAGTTAAAACACTCAAACATTCTGTGCCTTCACACCATCACCAGTTGGTGCCAATAGGCTTCACAAGCACAATGCAATTGAAATTTATCCTAGTTATTACAAATGTACATTCCTTTCCCTTTGGCTGTTATGCTGGTAAGAATAATAATCATTTATATATTTTTGTAATAAGTTACCTATAGATGCAAAGAATATGATGGCAAGAAAGTCACGTATTGGTTCAATACAGGACATAATTTCTTCAGTAACCATATGACCCTGAGAAGATATAAGTGCTCCTGCTAGAAAACATCCCAATTCCATTGAAACATCCAATAGCTCTGTGATCTGTAAGGGAGTGGAAAAGATTTTTATTACTATTTTGTGTCTATTAATTAACTTTTCATTAACCACCTTGCTTAAAAATTAAATATTACATGCAAATCTTTTATAACACTATCCTTGTTTAATGAAAGCACTATAATTTAAATAATTAATGTTAGAGGAAATAAGCAATTTTAAGACTTTCTAAAATTGTAATCTTTTTGTTAGTTATAAAATGGTCTCTACCATCTTTGATTACCTGTTAGCCCAGTTCCTAAACACAATTTCACTGTAGTAAATCCACTTGAAATCCAAACTAGTCACACTAGCGTCTCTCATTAAATACAAAGGAAACTTACGATATTAATGTATTTAGGATGGCAATGCAATGATCTAACTACAAGTGGCCGTGCACACTTGATTTTAAGAAATGTATATGAATTTTTCAAACTTACTTTTTATGCCATATCTGACACTAGTGCACTCAGAAATAATGCCTCAACACCAAGATATTTGCTTTTAGAAGCTTGTTTTATATTACAGAGAGGTTGCTGTGTAAATCTGTAGCAGCAAGGACAAAGAGTCTTCCTGCATCTAAAAGGCTAGTTTATTGTGGCATGCGCTTTCCTGAGCAACAGTGCACTTTCTCAGATGTATGATGTAACTGTCTAAATGGACAATATGTTATGAATACAGAGAGAGCAATAATTTTCTAAGAAAGGGAGGCCAAAGGCAATGCAAAATGATTAGATACACCTTCTGATCTAATGCATGTCAAATAACTGAAGAGTAAAAATGAACATAAGATCCAGTCAAAGTATTTGCTAAAATTCTGCATCTTTCTATGCCTCTTCATCACTCATTTCTTCAATCTACCTGGTTGCATGGAAGGACTAGTCTACATGGAATCAGTTAACATTTGGCTCTTCTCTTCTATCCTGCAGTTACCTTCCAACTCCACTTGCCTGTCTTCTTATAGCCAATCCAGGAAGGAGAGGTAGCACTGCTTATCAGCTTCCTCCTCCTTAGTCTTAGCTGTAAAACCCAAGAGAAAAGAAGTTGGCTCTGCCTGTCATTGGCTCTAGCGCCACCTGTAGTTGACCTCCCTGTCATCTGTCCTACTGGCCCAAATGGGTACCAGCCAACACTGGGGGGGGGGGGCGCCAGGAGATTTAATGACTCTCCTTCTCATCAAGTTGACATAACTTCCCAAAGACAACCCAGATAACAGACTTTGACTCAGACATGGCAGGCCATGATGTCTGCAATAATGGCAGCTATATGGGTGGAACTTTAGCTATACAATGAAGGAACTTTAAGCTAGGACTATGTACGCATAAGCATTTTAAGCTATGCACAAGCATTTTTATGAGCAGCCAGCTTTCTGACTGGTCCAATATTTATTTAAAACTGGTTATTAAATTGGTTATTAAATTTGTTGACATAATTTTTTAATGTAATTTACATATTCACCTATGAAGCCAGCTTCCATGAATGAAATCTACATTTTCTCCTGGAATTATTTTCAAAATTAATATATCACCATATCATGTGCAAGTTAAAAATGAAGAAATATTTGGAAAAATTACCGTTAACATAAGGAACATAAAAGCAGATATTCCCAGAACTAGAATTTCCTTATTTCCTTTGCTTTCCGTATGCAACTTGCGGTAGTATGGTCCTATTAGATAAGTCTTTAAAACAAGACATATAAGCAAGGCAGCAGCCAAAGAAAAGAGAATTTGTCCAATCAGCATCAATATTCTCAGTATTTCCTTGATGGTGCTAGGGAAAAAGAAGAAAAAGTCACGTTCAGTGTCATTCTAAAGCCCTCTTAAAATGTTTTTTTCTTATTAAACAGGAAAATGTGTGCATAATCTATCTGTCATTTACAGTTTCCTAACCTGCAATTCCTGCAAATGTTAGACTACAACTCCCATCATTCCTAATCACTGGCCACACTGAAGGGGTCTGATGGAAGTTGGAGTCCAACAGCATCTGGAGAACCACAGGTTAGCCACACCTGGTCTTAAAAAACTAACATAAGCTGTACTTGGGGAAATATTTAAGGTAGGTAAGGTACCCCTGCCCGCGGCTAGTCTGCCAGACTCTAGGTTGTGGCCCATCTCACTCTATAGCCGTCTGTCGAGCACTTCGGGTAAAGGGCGTGAACACGTGCTCTGGCGAAGCCAGACCGCACGAAACCTTCCGCTTGTAGCGGTCCCTATTTATGTCTTGCACCCGTGGGTGCTTTCGAACTGCTAGGTTGGCAGGCGCTGGGACCGAGCGACGGGAGCGCACCCCGCCGCGGGGATTCGAACCGCCGACCTTTCGATCGGCAAGCCCTAGGCGCTGAGGCTTTTACCCACAGCGCCACCCGCGTCCCTTGGGGAATATTTAAGCTAGAATAAAAGTTGAGCCTTATCTAATAAATATTTTTGAAAGTGGTGTGTCTGTTTGCCCTGCCCTCTAAGCATTTGAATGCCTCTTGAGATATCATGTGGAAGTTCCTGAGGAGGATGAGGAGCCAGTTTTTTGTCTATATTTAGCATTTAGAATCAAGATGATGAACCAGCGGCGTAGCGTGGGTTGTCAGCACCCGGGGCAAGGCAAGTAATTTGCGCCCCCTAACCTGTGGATTTGCGCCCCCTAACCCGTGGATTTGCCCTAACCCCAGATGTTGCGCCCGGTGCGGCCGGCCCCCCCTGCACCCCCCACGCTACGCCACTGTGATGAACCAAAATGTTCCACACTGCACCAGTGCCAAAGGACAGGAAAATATCACTGCCCACTTTGGCATAATGGTTCCAGAGAATGAGGAGTGTGCTTTGGCCTGCATTTGGATACTGTCACGTGCCATTTCGAATCCAGATGTCAGACTGAACTGTATAAATTCCACCAGTTTCGACGTCACTGAAGTTACTGTTGCCCAATTCAGCACGACAGTTCCCATGTTGAATTTGGTCTATATTTGGATACCACCGGACACCATTTTGATCCAGCTGCTATACTGAACCATTCAAAACTGCTACTAAAAATGAGCTAAAAAATGAGCTACTAAAAATATTTATAACCTAATGAAATTGACATCTGAGTCACAATATAAAGAGTATTAGGATGTATTTAACATTTAAGCCCTATGCATGTACAATTGATAGCATGCACCAATTTCTTGGCCAGTGCCCTCTTCAGGAACTTACATATCAAACTCAGTGGAAATTCAAAGAGCAATTTGAAGGTAGAAGAGCCAGACTAATGAAAAGAAAGTTGACATAGAAACTCCAATGTATTTACGGTTCCAACTCATTTGCACCTCTGAACTGCAGGATGGAAAGCCAGTAATTATATACCATATGTCAACAGTAAATTAGTTATTAGATGTATGATAAAACACTTCATTGCATTCACACTTTAAGAGACATGCAGCATGAAGGAAAATAAGCATACCATGTACACAGTCTTGAAATCTTTGAAGAAAAGGAAGGCTAAAAATGTAATGAACAAAAGCAAACAAATAAACTTTGTTACCTGGAATGTGTGCCAACACCCGCTTGAATAAGAGTTGGCATAACAGCTATAAACAAGCCAAGCTGTACATCCTGCATAACCAACATAGCAAGCAGAACACTGCTGTAATCAATATCTCCTGGGAGATTAAAAAAAAGAGGCAGATGTTAAATATGTTCAAGAACTGCAATACAGTATTAATAGCATCCGTTTCCTTGATAATGATTTGCCATTTATCATGAATTTGTTATATAATATCTATTTGGACCGAACTCATACATGTGAAAGTATTACAGAAAGAAAAATAAAATGAGTGTCTAAGAAAATGTGTGCAAGAAGGCATGACTTTCAGAATATCTATTATTGAATGGCAAATCAATGGGAAGGTCATTTTGAGCCCCAAAATACAAGCCAGTACAATACAAATGCAATTCAAGTTCCAACATAATTTTGTTGCCATGCAATTTATGCTGCTGCATATCTGCTGGATCCAAGATTCAAGGGCAGAAATGTAAGTGATGACTGCTTCTGTGTTTGACTCCATTACAAAACAAGCAGCACAATTAGGGTCTGATGAGGAAAGCTTTCTTTCTGCAGAGTACAGAACCTATTAGGCCAACATATTTGACAGAGCATCTGGGATTCTGCCAAGCATAACCTTCCTGCAACATAGTGGCAAGACCTATGCACAATACAGTCATACCTCGGGTTACAGCCGCTTCAGGTTGTGTTTTTACGGATTGTGGACTGCCGAAACCCGGAAGTACCGGAATGGGTTACTTCCAGGTTTTGGCAGTCACGCATGCTCAAAAGCACCAAATCACAACCCGTGCATGCGCAGACGCAGGTTGCAAACATGCACCAGAATCACGTTTGCAACCCAAGCGTCCAATGTACAGCCTCTCCTGTCTCTTACCTACTTCAGATTCCTCCCTCTTCTGTAGCACGTGAAAGAAGCTGGTCTATGTTTTGAAACACACCAAAACAAGAAATAAACTGACATGTGGAAGGGTAGAAGCTTGTTTCAGCTTGGGCAAACCTTCTGTTTTTAGAAGTCAGTCCATGATAAATATGATGGGAAATATGAAGAAACTGAAATTTATTGATAGAATAAAGACTAAATTTCATGTGGGGTTCAGTAAGTTTTGTTCCTCCTCCCCTCTTTTTCTCAGCTCTTTTTATGTCTGCTTAACACTGTGGAGGACTGGAGAAAACGTAATAGTTTTCAGAATAGTCATTCTGTTTCACAATAATTTTGATGGTTTTTCTTCTTATTTTTGCCTGCTCCACATAAGCTTGCAAAATCATAGAGATGAACTTCCTTACAGCTGAGCAGCTTGTAACTCCATTTGGAACAAAGACTTTAAAAAACAAATGAGTAATTATTGTCTGAATAAAATCTTCTTTTAAAATACCAGTCATATTTCTGTGGTAAGCCAAGCTATGCATAATGTATTTTATGTTCCTAAAGTATCAAACTGACTTTCAATATGTAAAGAGTACTTTTTAAATGTATTGCATTTTTCCCCCCGAAAATGTCCATTCCTCACCCCCCCTCAAAAAGGTATGGGTTTCTTTGCAGCTTCAAAATTCCTGGAAATTTTACAAATCCAGTAGTTCCCCAGCAACTAACATTCAGAGGCATGCTGTCTTGTCTCTGAAGCTAGAGGTAGCATACAGGGGTGGACTTTGGTAATATGGCGCCCTGAGCGAGGGCAAAATTTGGCTCCCTCAATATTTATTTGGTGCCCTCCCCCCTCTTGCCTTCCATTTTGCTCTCAAGTGCACTACATCATAGTTGCAGAAACTCAATCACCTGCCTGACCAGGGCCTAACTTTGAGTAGGTACCAGCATAAATATTGGTTTTATATTATATTATTATTATTATTTTGTGCCCCCTTGGCTCAGTGCCCTGAGCAGGGGAACTGCCCACACCACCCTAAGTCTGGCGCTGTAGCGTATCTCCATGACTAGTAGGCATTTATAGTCTTATCCCCCATGAATTTGTCTAATTTCCTCTAAAAGCCATCTAAGTTGGTGACCATCCACACTCTTGTGGCAATGAATTCAATAGTTTAACTATGTGCTGTGTAAATAATTGTTTCCTATTGGGTGTCCTGAATCTCCTACAATTCAGTTTGTGGTATTATGGGAGAGGAAGAAAAACTCCTCTAGGTCTCATCTGCAACAGCTGTGCGCAACTCATGATTCAGTTCCATAATTAGCCCATTCATCATACCAGGCAGATGACAAAATACCACTGAAAATATAAAGCTACACGTGTAGATGTATTAGCAGGAGTCTATGAAGATGTCTTATTCTCAAGCTTTTATATTTTCCGTAGATTATATCTAAAGACTGCATCTATGCTTTTCTAGAAGTCTATTACAATACATGTCTCTTGAGGCTTGCATTTCATAGAAACCAACTTATCTCGCACAGAAAGCATCATGGAGTGCTGTGATTAGACATGCTGCAGGATAAGTTCTGTTAACTCAGATATCGGCTGAGAAACTAGGGATAGAATCTTCAGAAATTATTAACTGCATGGAAGGCACTGGATCTCAAACCTAGCCTTCCAGAAACTTTGGACTACAACTCCCACAATTCCTGACCATTGGCCATTCTTACCAAGGTTGATGGAAGTTGTAGTTGAAAACATTTGGAGGGTACCAGGTTGGAGAATACTATGAAAAGTGAAGGGCAATCGAAAAATTCAGCAAAAATAAATGGATCCTATAACTTAATGGGTAAAGAACTCAGGTCAGGACCATCACTATGCAAAACTCTCATTATTTAACTGGAAGTTAACTGATAGTTAAGAGCACCCTTCTACGACAATCAAAACTTCATCAGTACCTTTTAAGGTTAGTTCTTTTTGCCCTCGTGTCTGGGCTAAGATTAAATGGAAGAATTCAGTAGGTTAAGGATCCACCTACCTTCTTTATCTCCCCGAGCACTCCCTGCAAGGAATCTGGATACCAATGGTGTGCTTGATAATGATAAACAAGTAGCAATGAAAACACTCTGTGTTGCTCTAATTTGTAGCAAGTGTCCCCACAGTAAGCCAAATGCAATCATCAGGAATGTCATGTAACAGGGTCCTTGCAATGATATCTTCCACACCTTTGAGAATAATGGTCACTTAGATTAGCATAATACTATTTCAACACTGCAACTGTATTTATCCTTTAAATTTTATGCTAAAATTTTATGCAATACAACTTCAGAATATATAGATCCTGAGAGTTCTTTAGACAACCAAAACTGTTCTTAAATGTCATTGTTTCTGGATCTATTTCACAATATGAATTCCAAAAAAATAAGAGCTCCCTCTCCCCAAGTAGATTATATTATGCTATAGATTATGAACTGGGAAACTCACACCTGCTTAATGCAACCCTTGTCCTCGATGTGAAAAAAGTGCTAGGATATATATTATTACAAGCAGAAAACAAACAATCCTACACTACTGAGTAAATTGTTAACTTGTGTTCAAACAGTAAATAAGCTGTCAGTAAGGCAATAACTCTTTAGCATGCAAGCGTTCCCATATAAAATTTATTTATAGTAGCTTGATGGACTCTTTCAGCTCACAGCTCCCAAAGTGGAGTCCAGAGGCAAAGCAAGATGTGGAATGACAACCCAACAAAGTGTTAAAGGGGCTGTGATGAACACAGCTATGCTGTAGCAAAGAAGCTTGGAAAGAATTAAAAGCTGAGCGCAAGCTGGAAGGTCAGTGGAAAGAGAATGTAAAAAGGAGTAATTGGGAAGAAAGAAAAACGGTACAAACAGGTTTGCCACCCCGGTGAGAACCCAGGCAGAAGAGCAATATTAAATTGCCAAGTTAACACCACCCACTCTGCCTATCCCACTTTCAGACTTTCTTGCACTGCCCTGGAGGTACTTTCCCAGAGCTGTTTCTGTACCATCCACCTCACTGTCCTTCTGACTTGCCCAGTTATGATGCAGTCGCAATAGTCTCTCTCCTCTCAGTCTCTGTTTTTTGTCCCTGCAGCCTTTGCACCTGGGGGCCAATCATGCCCTAAATATGAGTCCCCCCCATTTCAGACACTGTTCTCCCCAACATGCTAGCTTTCCACATGCAAGGATTTTGTTTTGTACAAAAGAGCATCTGAGCCCACATGTGCCATCTGAAGTGGTATAACCCAGACACAAATCTGCCACCTCAGTGAGAACTAGATCTCTGTGTCTATGTATTCTAGGAGAACACGTGTTTATTTTCAAAAAGATAACCCTCCGCAAACTGTAGAAGTCTTTTAAAAACAGGTGTTATGAGAACCAAAAAAAATTATTTAAAAAAATGTCTAGTCAAGCAACATTTTTTTTTTAAATCATGCAAATTTGAACAATCCAAAATGCTATTTTTCTCTTGGTTTATTTGCAATGCTGATACACATACATTTTATGGAGCAATACCTTTCTTAATCTTTCCGGGGAAAACTCCAAGCCAACGAGGAACAGTGTGTAGAACACACCAAATTCTCCCAATGTTTCTACTTGCACAATTGACTGAAAAACACAAGTTGCCACAGGTAACTCAAAATATAGTCAACTTCTGCAAAAGTAGTAACTAGACGTTCAGTCATGCTATACATACAGTATCTGCTTACATCTTACTTCCACAATAAGGAAAGCATACATAAACCCCTTAATGCCCTTACCTCTCCAGAACAGATATTGGGGCTGTACAGGACTGCAAGAGGGGGCGGAGGAAGGAAGAGCCCTGGTGCATAAATTAATATCAGCTTATGTAACATTGTACCTCTCCAAAATCTTACCTTAATGCTGTTTAATCCTGATGGTCCTAAGAGTACTCCACAGATAATGTATCCAAACATAGTTGGTAATCCTATTGTTGTACATAACCATCCACAAGGCAAAGATAGCATTCCTATGGTGACAATATCCTAATAAATAAAACAAAAATAAAATAAAAATGTTCCACACACATATGTCAACATGCAAAGCCAGTGGACATACTACGGATCCAGGAAGGAAGAGGTTTCATGGATTGTCACTGGGCCTTTGCAGGGAACAATGCATTCCTGAAACACTACCTGGAGTTGAGTGGGACGAAGAGCAAGCCTTGGGCTCACATGCTCTCCCTCTGCTCTTTCTCCAAGAGAGTGAAATCTCTTGGGAGAGATATAAAAAACTATCACTCATTACGCATATGAAATATGAAATGGAGATAAAGCAGGTGTTAATATCAGTTGGAAAATGCTTACTCCAACATTTTTTAAAAGCAACAACAAAATACTGTATTTTCTCTGGTTTCTCTTCAGATCGTATAAATCTTTCGCCTTTTACAAAATACTGTATTTTTGTCAGTCCTTATAAGTGTTAATTTTCATTTGTTCTGGCTAACTCCTAATACTAATATTCAAGGCTTTCCCCCCTACTGGAACAGTGTTCTGTCACCTCTCAGCTGGGCCCCAGAAGTTGGGGGAGAGACTTGGCCAGCAAAGCCTCACTGCACCCCCAGCTCATGAGGACATCCTCCCCAGAGCCTGAATATGAGGGCTCTGGAGAGGGTCTCCTTGTGAGCTGGAGGCACAGCGGGGCTTTGCTGAGGCTCTTCAGCCTCCTGGCTAACAGCTGATGTGTGGGAAAGCCATGCCTCAGCTGAGCAAGCCCCAAGCTGCTCTGGCTCACACTAGTCAGAGAGACATATGGGTGGGGGGTTGCTCATTAAGCTGGTCAGCTGAGGCAGAGAAGCTTCTCCACACTTCAGCTGAGCCGGAGAGGTGCATGGGTAGGGGGGCCATTAAGCTGGTCAGATGCGGTGTGGAAAGCTCTCCTTGCCTCAGGTGAGCAGCCTCAATAAGCCTCTGGCAGCAAGATCTCCCCCACCGCCACAGGATCTCTGAGGTGGGTTCTGATGAGATGTGCATTCCGACACCTTTCTCTCTAGGAAAAAAGCCACTGCTAACATTGCCCTTTGTTGGTACTGGTTTCACAACAATTCCATTTCATTTGTGAGCTGGATGAGCAGCCCAGGATGCATTTATGGGCCATATCACATTCTTATTTGGGTTTAATTTTTTTTCCATAGCTGTGAATGGAATCAGATCACAAATTCTAAATTCATTTTTTATACCAGCTGTCACTAAAAACTAACCCAGTACAGCTCTATAAGAACAGCTGCTGTAGTTATGGCACACAGAGATCAGATCGGAAGCTCTTGCATACACAGGAGCTCCTATATGAGCAAGGACTTCCTTGATGCCTTTAGGCCTTTAGTGTCAAAGGGAGGCATAGGCAACCTCAGCCCTCCAGATGTTTTGGGGCTACAACTCCTATGATCCCTAGCTAACAGGACCAGTGGTCAGGGATGATGGGAATTGTAGTCCCAAAACATCTGGAGGGCTGAGGTTGCCTATGCCTGGTCAAGGGCAACTCAAAAATAAACTCAGCTTCTGCAAAAATTAGGGTGATGGGATGGGAAAGAGCTTTGACTTGGAGCCATAGATCCAACCTAGAAGTTTTTCTGCATTAAAAGCAGATGGAGGGATCATAGTAGTATTTTATACTACTTTTAGTACCAGAACTCAGACATCTCATATATATATATAATGGGACTGTAAAAAGGTTGACATGTTTAATAATGGAGCCTACCTAGAAGTCTCTTTCAGTTAAGGCAGAGTGATATCTACATGAAATAGCTACATTGTATATGGCAATTATCATCCTGTTGAGGGTATTGCTGGTGGCAAACACAAGTTTGTGGTTGAATAATGTCTATAATAACCATCCAAGGCAAAGTCTAAGAAGATGCTTCACAGTATTTCAGATAAAAGAATGATCTTGAGATAATCATATAAGCTAGTGCAGTCCAATGTAGCACCTAAAGTCACAATTTTGAATTCTCAGAAATAGAGGAAATTAATATTCATTATTTTCTGCCATTTTTGCCAGGTTTCAATAGCAGCATTTTGAATTTTGGAAAACCCAGTAGTATTTTAAGATATGACAGCAATAAAAAGTTCCTGACACCTGGATATAACATGATTACAAACTGGTATTGGCAAATAACTTTGATATGTTCATAATTGTTGTTTATATTTCTGTCTTTGAAATGTAAGTATACAGACAATACTCACTTTTAATTTAAGTTTTATTAATATGCTCAGCCCTATTTTTATACATTACCTTTATAAAATGATGATCCGCCCGTGGAATGGTAGAGTCTCTGGGCTTAGTAAGTATGTACTGATTGTTTTGGGAATCAATAAGCATGCTTAGACCCAAATCATCTTCTACTACCCGTTTTGAAATATTTCTTTTAGTATCTGCTTCATCTTCTTCTACTCTTAAAACAGCTTCAAAATTCACTCCCCTCACCTATCAAGGAAGCAAAGGTTTTTCATTATTCTCATCTATTAATTATGCCATTTTTTATTTGTTTTTAGAGTTTAAAAGGAAATAATAATAATGAGCAAGCAACCCTATGGTCTCAGAGGGTATCCTCAGGTCACAGAACAGTGTGGACCTCCCTCTCTGTGGGCAGAGATCTGGCCCTGGAAGCCTTCTGATTGTGGCTGAAGAAACATCCATTGGTACCTCTCCAATGTGATTTTTATGGGGAGAGATGGCCCTTGAAGTATTGCAGTCCTGAGCTGTTTAAGGCTTTATAGGTCAAACCCAACACTTTGAATTGGGCCCGGAAGCCAGGATATGCTAAAACCATTTTGCCCCAGTGAGCAACCTAGCTGCTGAATTCTGCACCAGCTGAAGCTTCCAAACAGTCTTCAGAGGCAGCCCTACATATAACGCAATGCAGTAATCCAGTCTATTCTTACAACACCAGGATTTCAATTTTTATAAATTGTTTGTATTGCCTTAATAACCTCCAGGTCAGAGATATCAATCTTGTGTATCTATTACATTGCCATTTTTTATTCTAAAAGTTTCTAGTTTTGCTACTTTTAATTTCTACAGTTATGTGGGTTACATACAAGCTACTATGTATTTCTCGCCTCTCACCACTGAAGAAAACTTGCAGTTGCTGTCTTGGAATCCTCCCCATTGCATTGGATTTCAAATTAGAATTTATATTGCAACAAGAAGAAATGAAAGTCTTCTTATTTATTCTGCCAATATGCCACTTAACTGGAGAACATAACATAAAAATACTTAATAAGAATACTTTTGATAAATTGTTATATAAGATAGTAAGTAGCAGAACATAATAGCTATAAAAAGCCCTCTCTAGATAAACTTACTGACTTGTTGTCATCAAAGGCATGCTCTCCTATTTCCTCTTCAAGCCTATCAGCTGCTTTTCTTACATCTTCAAGAATCTCATCAAGAATGGATAAACTTTTATTTTGATGCTGCATGTTCTTCAGGGCTTCAGCCTGGTGTTTCTCTGCTGCTAGAAGTTCAACATATTCCGTTTCTTCCTGTTAGAATTCATAAAAAAAAATTCTAAGATATTTTTTCAAAGCTGAAATTCACAAGATGAACATTTCATTTTGTCAAAGTTCTTACAAAGCTTTTTAAAAGCTGCAGAACAAATACTTCATACAAAGAGCTTCCTGAGGTCCTTGAATTGCCTTTCAGCTCTAGATCCTCAATGAAGCTGGAGTGAAATCCTTAAAAAGGCCATTTTATAATAAGGACAGTCAACATATGCAGAGTGTTTACTCCCTTCAGTAGCCATTATTTATTAACTGTATGTATTTATATCCCACTTTTCGCCCAGGAAGTACAAGATGACATATATGTTTTAAGGGTGAAATATAGCAATTTACTCAACATCACCAGTGAGTTTATGGGGAACAACGTAACATCTCTCTAGATATAAAAATGCAAGCCAATATTTCTCTTCTCATTTCATTATGTAGTTATTGTCATTCTGCAGCCACCCCTTCTGATGATCACACTGTTTGAAAAGGAGTTACAATGACAATGACCAAGAAGCAGTCTCACTTATTGTATATCCTCTGTTGTCATAACAACTTCTATGGGCATGCATGCACTTCTTCTTTCCTTACTTAAGAAAGGCATATCCTTGCCCAGCAACAGTGGAAGTAACAGATTTTTAATTCTGGATGATTTAATGCAGGGGCTTTGGCCACCTTGTCAAGAGCTAATGAAATTTGCTCCTATCAAAGGCTTATGAGCATAACAAATGATAGGACTGAACATGTTTGAGAAAATATTGCATTTGAAAGCAGAAGAGTAGTTCTTACTACTGAATATCATAACTCACTATCAGTTACTGGGCATTTTTGGTTGTGGAGTATGCAGCAGCCTCCCCAGTCATGAGTTCTTGTCCTTTTCGGGCATTATACATAGATGTGCCATTTGCATAGCATCTATGGCCCAAATATGACCACTGATAATATGGGAAATTCTACACACATTGGCTTTTTTTGCAACTTTGGCCCTAAGGGCGATATCGAATGTTGATCATTCTTGGAATAGAGCCACTGAAATACACAGACTTAATAGGTCTACTCCAGGGGTGTCAAACTCAAATTCATTTGGAGCCGCATCAGCAGTTTGGTCACCCTCAAAGGGCCGGTTGTATCTGTAGGTCCTACAGTAAAGTGGAGGTTTCCTGTGTAGAACGGCCGGCGCCGCTAGAGGGCAGGCGTTCTCTGGCTTGTAGGCTGCCGCGCATGCACTGAAGAGGTGGCTTTCTTGTGTCAAAAAAAAAAGCAAGAATAAAAGGTGAAGGCTGGCGGCCGGCGGCAGCTACACGGGCCACATGACGAGGTCTGGCGGGCCGCATTCGGCCCGCGGGCCTTGTGTTTGACACCCGTGGTCTACTCAGAGTATAACACCAGATATTGCCCTAAGCAAAGCATTATCTCAAAATTAATGTGATGGGTGTGATTCCCCCTCCTCCACCAAGCACAGCTGGCAAGTTTGTTGAAACCAACCTAATACTTTGTTGAAATCTGTCCATAGGCAGTAACTACCTTGACATCCTTTAGTTTTAGAACATTAAATTTTCAACTGCAAAGAGAACTAACCTTTATTGCTGCTTCCCTCAAAGCTTCCAATCTCTGCCGACTACTTTCCTTCATGTTCACAACATCTTTATAATCACCTTGTAAAGCTCTTTGGAGTCCGTAGATTGCTTGAAATACAGAGTTTTCACTTTCATTCAGCTCCTTTTGAAAAATTTCAAATGTGTGGACTTGAAAAGTTCTTTCTGCAAGTGACAGTCCCGAGTCCTTTTCTACTGCTCTTATTGCACTTTTTAGTTTGTTGAGAACCACATTCTTTTGACGCAGGAGTCCAGATAGCTTTCTGCAGTTTTCTACAAGCCATTGTTTCCTCTGTGTAGCAGCAACTCCTCTACCACGATGCAGTTTTATTGCATGTTTCACTATATCCTCATGTTCCACAGGTGTTATTAGTTGACAGCAAAACAATGAAGCCAACACCCATAAGGAAATAAATCCAGTTACCTTCATGGTCCAATTATTACCAATCGTAGGAAAGCAGTCAGAAATTATCCCAAACTTTCCATAATATGCTTTTTGCATCTCAAATATATATGCAGTGTGATCAATTAATAAAAATTAGCTGTCATTCTTAGTATACTACTGAACCACTGAAACAAATATGAATTCAAATTCCAGAAACCAGGAGATGAAAATACCTTAAGCACTGCACATTCTTCTTTCTTCAAGGTTACATTGCTTTTTATGAAAAACATCTTTCTTGGTCTGCTTTTTGTCCAAAACATAGCACTAGCTAACATCTATCAAGATGGAAAGAGGTTCTACTGAAAAATATTTCAATATATTTTCCTTGAATTATATCAAATACTCTTCAGTTAATTTTCACTAATGAAATGGTTGCTTGATCTTCTTATATGGACAATAAATGATGATCCCAACTCTGCATTAAAAAAAAAGTAAAATGGCTACTTACTTTTTTTATTACAATCAAGCAATATTTAAATGTTGTTAAATGAATAAAATAAAGTACAATTGATTACAATATTTTAATTTCCTATTAACTAACCTAGCTGTGTACAAAAGTGTGTGTGTATATATATATATATATATATATGAAGAAATGGCACCATATAATCCCAGGACCCTTCCTGCTTCTCTTCTCTCATCTTTCTCTACCACCACAATGTCCTTCCTTAGAGCCATATACACATTAAAGCTTCTAATTCTTACAAGTTACCATGTCTTCCACACAAACCATCAGTTACTTTCCGTCCCTTTGACTTCTCCCACCTCCATTGCTTTTGTTATTGTGCTCCTCCTTTTCCCTGCAACACCACTCTACTTGTCAAGCAACTTCCTTTCTTGCAGTCAACAAGAGTGAACATTTCCCTGACCTCTTCCTTTCCAAATCTCTCTTGTCTACATAGATCATAAACCCATTAAAGTCAAGGGCTGTGGCATAGCTTTGTTCTGTACAATAACCAGGAATATGTGATGCTGCAAATCTTGTTATGGAGTGGTCTGGAGACCTGAGTTTTGGAACTCTGGGGCAGCTCCTTGATCTCCTGCTCTTTGCTCTTCCCAAAAAAACTGTTGTTGCTTTCCTTTGATGATAGGATGGTTGATCATAGTGTTGGTGAGATCCCAATGTACCCACTGTCTTGATTTCCCAGAGGCATCTATGCATATAAAATAAGGACACGCATATTTTTGCTCAAGTGCCCTGCCAAGTGTGTTAAACAGCAGTGGATAGCCATTAAGACTTCAGATCCATCAATCCTGTCAAGGATAGCTCCAGGTTTTCAGGTACTCCCAAGCAAGCCTTTTTCCTCAGTAAGATCACATTCCTTACTTCCATAATACTTAATTCACTAAATACTGGGAAAAGAGGAAGAAGGGTAGATTAAAGATTGTGCTGGAGCTATGGCTCAATTCAGCATCCCCTTCAAACATCTATGGACCCCAGGGAGTAGTCTGATGACCTTGATTGCTGCTGGCACCAAATACCTACATATATATGAGACAACATCTAGTCCCAGGAAAGGCGTTTATGAAACTGTCATTAAAACACTAGTTATAGCAGACCATTTACATCTGCCCTGACCAAGGTGCATAAAGGTGTATATCCTTTCCGTCCACTTCCCAAGCTCCCAAGCTTGCTTTAAAGGGCAGGACAGGGCAAGTCCAGCAGAAGGGAGAGAAGCAAGACACACCATTATTCCTTTGGTGCTAAAGATGTAACAAATGGTGTAGATCTGGTGGGGAGGAGGGAGGGAGAGGAAGAAGCCACCACCCACCACCCCTCTTTTTGGGGGGAAGGTGGAAGGATCCAACCTGCTAACCACCACCCTCTGGTCCCATACTCAAAATAACAAACGCAACTCCAGCACTGCCTCCTTTATGACGCCACCTTAGGAGCCAACTCCTGGGGCTGAGGTCGCTTCAGGGCCCCCACCCAATAAAACATTGGAGGGGTCCAGGCATGGGTGTAACCAGGATTTATTTGGGGGGGAGCAGGCATTATGTTAGGGGAGGCAGAACCAAGTTATCTGTGACGCAACTGGTCAGTTATTTTTTTTTATTTTTTTTATTTATTTACTTAATGGGGGGGGGTTCAGCCCCATGGGTCTAAAGGGCTCTGAAGTTGATGGACACTGCCACTCAAATCGTGTGCATGCACCATGTCATGAGATCACACGCGAGGGTGGGCCGCCGAAGGCGATTCAGGATCCGGTTTCGGAGCCTCTTCCTTCTTTCATTTCAAACCTGGATCCCTCAGTCCCGCCAGGGCCGACAGGAAAGTGAAGGAAAGAAGCGGGGGGGGGGCGAACGACATAGCTCTTCCTCTCTCTCTCTCTACCCCACCTCGCATCGCCTCACCTGCACTGGAAGGTCCCCCCCCCCCCCGGAGCCGAGCCACCGCCGGAGAAGCCGAGCCACGTCCCCATCCTCCTCACCTCCACGCCGCCTCCCTTCCTCGTTCTCTCAGGTGACCAATCGAATCCCTCGGAGGAGCCGCCCAGCCAAGCTCGCGCCCCGCCCTCAGCCAACCAGAACGAAGGGCTCCGCCCCCTCTCCATAACGAACCCCCTGCCATTACCTCACCCGTCAAAAACAACCACTCGGCTTCTCTCAGCGTGAAGGAGCACAGCGGAGCGACTCGCCGGCGCTTTCGTTTCTTTTTTTAACGCCTTGTGGGAAATGTAGTCCTCCTAGTGGACTGTGGGAAATGTATATATAGAGGAGTATATATAGAGAGGCGGTTGCGATTACTGTACTCCGTCGCGGTGCATTGTGGGAAGTATAGAATTCCCACTCCACCCCTCCCAAGCTCGCATCGGCCATAGAGGTTAGATATTTATAGAGCTAGAATAGAATGGAGGTGGGACTTCCTGGTTTCCTTTGACGCTCTTTTTTGCCGCTTCACTATATGACGGAAGGGGAAGGCGTCGGTAGAAAAACAATGGGGAAAGGCAGTATTTGGGTATAGCTGCTCCTGAGCAGCAGTATGCCTAGCCAGAAACAGAAGGTAACAGCAAAGGGCATGTTATTTTCGACTCGGCTCTTATTTTGTGTGGGAAATGTGGGTGGGAATGCTTAGAATTGCATTGACTGTACCAAAACAGCCGTCGTATCCTGCCTTCAAATCTGTGCTTCTACATGCAGTTCTGCGCTGAACTGATCTGAGGGCGGGATTACCTTCTTGCAACATGGTGTTTTTGTACGAGGGATATTTTTGAGGCTGTAATGCAAACTGGCTTCAGCATCCCCATCTATAATACTGCAAGTTAAAAAAGGAGGCTGCATCTTTCCAGGTTACGGGGGGAAAAAAGAGTCCCCACCTTAGATCTCCTCTCAGCCCAAATCCAGCACTGAACTGCGTGCAGAAGTCTTGTGCTTCAACAAGCTGCATACGAGTGCATTGCTCACTTTAAAATGGTTAATAACTTTTTTTAAAAATGGCAAGACGAGCTCTAAAAAGAAAATAAATCCTTTGTAGAGGGCTTGCTGTTGCCCAGTTACAGGGGACGGGGAATCTCGAGTTTCTCCAGCTTTTTGTCCCCCTTGTGACGCTCGAAGCAAGCAAACAAAAAAGTTAGCCCAGAAGTGAGACGCTACGCACGAGTCTACTATTACACATCTATGGCAGCAGCCGGTTGAGAGCGGAGTGCACCATGGGTAACGTAGTTCCTCCTTCCCCTTCTCGCTCTTGTCGGGCCTTGCATGGTTCCCCCCCCAGCGCTACCTCACGGGCGCGGTAGCGTCGCACCTTTTAGCATTGGTACCGCGGGAAAGAACACAACTCGGGGGCGGGAGTTTCCGAAGAAGATCCTAGGCGATGGCAGGCGGTTGAGGGTCGTGAGGGAGCGGGGGGGGGAGGCGGCCCGGTACGCGCGTGCGCAGGAGGACGCCGTAGCGGCGGCGGCGGCGGCGGCAGCGGCAGCAGCAGCGCTGGATAGTGAAGTTGGTTGAAAGCGCCGCTGATAAAATGGTAGGTTGCGCGGGGGGGGGGAGAGGAGAGAGGAAAAACTGCACCGGTTGTTTAATAACAGCGCCCCCCCCCTCCCGCTTCCGCGAGCTGGAGGAGGAAGCAGCGGGTTAAAAGCTCCTCCCGCCGGGCTGCCGCCTGAGGGCAAAGTGCAGCGCAGCGAGCGACCTTGCTCTCTTTCCCCTTTAGGTCTCTCCCGTCTGCTGGCGCCTCAGTCAAGGAAGGTCACGAGGCGGCCGGCTTTTTTTTTTTGGAGAGGGGGCGGCAAAGGCTCTTTTGAGACTTAACCCTGTCTGCCTTCCTCTCTCCCCCCTCTCTCCTTCCCCGTCATTGAAGCTCTCCAAGCCCCGAGGCGATCCTGTAACACTAACCCGGACACACGGGTGTGCGTCTCGTGTGAATGAAAGGGAGGTTGTTCTTTTGTGCGTGCGTGCGTGTAATGGGATTCTTGGGGGAGAAGCTAATAGCAGAAGCACCGCAGCTACAGTACTTACTGCCACCACGGCTGGCTGACGGGCTCTCACCACCACTAACTCCACCACGTACCTTTCCCTTTTTTGGGCAGGGGAGAAGCTGGCAGGGTGCAGCAGCCTGACGACCTCTCTCTCTCTCTCTCTCTCACACACACACACACACACACACACACACACACCGATTTTGTCCCGCTTCTTACAGACCGGCCCCCAGAGCTATACTTCCCACACCCGCACTTCCTCGACCTGTTCTGTGAGCAGCTCTGGGGAGAGGGGTTTTTTATAGGGAGGGATATAGGCCGGGGTGAGCTGTCCCGCGGGGGGCAAGGAGCCGCAGGTGAATGAGTTGCCCGTGAGGCGCTAAGGTGCTCTTCCCTCCGTCCTTTTGCGCTTCTAAGACCAAATCGTTCCCACACACACTCCGTTAGGATCTGGCATCGCTCAATTTCCCCTCATTTGTCTCCTGCTAGGTATGATAATGAGTGGTTTATTTGGAGAGGAAGCCGAATTTAAATGAGGATCTCAAAATAGAATCAGAATAAATGTATTTTAAAAAAATAAAATAGAAACCCTGATTCAGGAAGTTCAGTAAACTGTTTGCTTGCTTGCTTGCTTGCTTGCTTTGCTTTGCTTATCTATTTATTTATTTATATTTTATTCATTATTCTTGCCTGTGAAAGCTCAACTTCTCACATTATCCCCAAAAGTGAATGATGAATCAAAACAAGCAAGCCTCTCTTTACTTCAGTGATAAAACCTTGAATTCCTGGATCTTGAAATTGGCTGGCAAGTAAGGATACAGGAGCCATGTTTTACTTGGATTTATTTTCCAATGTGGTGGTTCTCAGGACTCTTTCACAAACATTTTTTACACAGGGCTTCTTTAGAATAGGAGAGAAGTCTTGCTGTAGTTTTGGTCGTGCAGTTTCGTATGCTAAGAGGATTTTATAAAGAAAATGCCATTGTGAATGGTGACACAAAATATCACACCTGTGTTCATCTTACTGAGAGATATTTCAAGACTGTACTGGCAGTAAAGAAATGCAAATGAAACATTAATGCAATAGGAATGTACTGTTAAAGTGACTTCATGTTACTGTGTTTTTGGATGACACATTTATTTATTATTTATTTTGGTTTCTAACCTGAAACAATACTTTTAGAATGCCGGCTTCTGATTTTTATCATGATTATGTATCTCCACTGATATTGCAACTAAGTGCAATCCTATGCATGTTTGCTTTCAAGTAGTTCATTCATTTTAATGGAACTTAACTCCCAAGTAAATGTGTAAAGGATTGTATCTTCAGTGTTTTTAGACCCTTGAATATATGGTAGTGTAATTACATGTCGTTTCATGCTTTATAAGGGCACAGTTTTGTTCTTAGGTTTATCATAACACCACTACTTAAAAGTTACTTGACTAAAGATTTGGCGCCCTTAATGAATAGCTACTGTGTAGATAAAACTGGATATTCTAATGAGGAAAGCTGATGTATCTAGAATTGTAATGCTAAGACTGAAATGAATTGCACTCAGAATTTTGTTTGTTTGTTAAAAATGTACATATAGATGCTGTCATTTCAGTTTTCAGAAGAGAGTGCTGTCTTTAACTACAGAAGAACAAGGATTTCTTTGGGTTATTCTGGAGTGAAATTTGTTACCCAACAAGAGAAGTAAACCCTTTTAAAAGATAGGCAGTTATAGTAGAATTCTGAAACAAACGACTGGATTAGCTTCATTGGCTTTCCTGCTTCTTTTGCATCCCAAAGCATAAACTTAAATCGTCTCAGAAGGACAAGGTCCGCCAGTTTATGGCAGTTACCCAGGCTGGTGAAAGGACTGCTATATACTGTTTAATGCAGAATGAGTGGAAACTAGAAGTGGCAACAGACAACTACTTCCAGAACCCAGACTTGTACTACAAAGAATCCATGAAAATTTCAATAGACAGAAAGAAATTAGAACAATTGTATAACAGGTACAAAGGTAAGGTTTATTTTTTCATTATTTCATTTGGACTTGGTTTCAGCTTTTGCCTAAATCTTTGGGGTTTGGGGAATCTGTAATCCTGAACATATCTACTTGGAAGCAAGACCCGTTGAATTCAGTGCATTTGGTTCTGGGTAAACATGCATAGTGTCAGGCTGTAAACTAAATGTGAATGTAGAAGTCTGTTCTAATGATCTCTGTATATACTACCGTAATAATGACAACCTCCAAGTATAAAGCTCTCCCCCCTGCTTTATCTTTGCCATTCAATATGACATAATTCTATTTTAAAATTGAAAACACTGTAAGTGCAAATCCAGCATGCGTGCTAAGGAAGAGCAATCTAGCCGCTTAAATTTGTATGTGTGAGATGTACTAGCAGTATATTAAGTGCTATATATAGCTGTAGCTAGCAGGGTCATATGGGTAGGGCTGTGTTGCTCTCTGGCCTTCCCAGTGCCACAGGTCATTGCTGGTTACCAAGGATGGGAGGGGTAACGTAGTGAGATAATCAGCACGTTTTGGGTGCAGCTGCAGAATCAATCCAATGATCCCAATTCTGCCCCCTCATGGTGCAGAGCAAGTTGGAAAAACGGGAGAGCAATGCAGCCCCACCCACACTACCCTGTCAGCCACTACGGACTGTGTGGATCTTGTAGTATCTGATTCATTACACATGAACTGAACAATTTTTATAATGAAATTGCATCACCCTGATCCAGTTTCTATTGTCAATCACTTGCTGGTGTTATGGGCGTAAGAATGGAGGTGCTGTTTATACTCCCTGCATTGTTTTCCATAGAACGTGTGTTCTAATGTGCATTCTCATTCACATTGGAATGCCTATGTTGATGGTTATATAAGTGTATACTCCTTTGAAACCAGGTGAGGGTAGCTGATGGGTCTCAAACCCCTGGTGAGTTAGGGACTTCTGTTGCATAGGAAGACAGGTTCTGGTGGATTGAACGGACGAGACAATATTGGGTCCACTGGTCAAGAAGGCAGATTTTGCACATGCTATAGAGCAGGGGTCAGCAAACATTTTCAGCAGGGGGCCAGTCCACTGTCCCTCAGACCTTGTGGGGGGCCGGACTAGATTTTGGGGGCGATGAACGAATTCCTATGCCCCACAAATAACCCAGAGATGCATTTTGAATAAAAGCACACATTCTACTCATGTAAAAAGACGCTGATTCCCGGACCATTCACTGGCCGGATTTAGAAGGCAATTGGGCTGGATCCGGCCCCCGGGCCTTATTTTGCCTACCCATGCTAGAGGGAAGTGAGGGGCAGATGGGACTTGTGAACCTGGGAAGGTAGCCCATCTAGAAGAAAGCTGATCCTAAACCTCGGCTGCCTTGCAAAATATCTTCAAGAGAAGAAAAAGCTAAGGAGCAAACCCTACTCAAATCCAGAGCAGAGTCCCTAAAATGGTTAGATGGCATCTTGTACACCTCCTTCGGGCAACTCCTGCAGCCAGGCTGTTGCCAAATGTATTGCTCCGCTTCCCTTTGGACCACATCAGCGAGGCTGAGGGGGTCCTGTCATCTGGGCAGCCCAGGGCCTCCATACACACTGCTCAGGCTTGCACCCTGGGGAAGTCACCGGTGCTGTTAACAAAGTGGTTTGACTCCACCCTTGGAGTTGCACTCCATTGTCTCTTGAGAAGGACAGATGCCAACAACTCCTTTGAAAGTAGGGGTGGGGCTTATGTGCATTCTGCTAACATGCGTGATCACCCAGAACACAACCCCCGTGCACACTTGGGGTTGTCTGTATTTTATTATTGTACAGGCAACCACCAATTTACATGGGTGTTGCATTCTGGGTAATCGTGCACAATGGCAGAGTTCACATAAGCACGTTACACCCCGGTTCATTCTGTTTTCTGGGTTGATGCAGTGCATGCAGTCGCATATCAATTGGATGCATGCAAATTGGTCTTTGCCTGTATGCTATGTTCATCACAAATTGGGAGGTAGAACAATATGAATTTCTTTAAAAGGCTTAGTATCCAGTGAAGGAGTGAAAACATACTTAATTTTTTGCAGTTATATGTGAGACCATCACTGTTGAATTATTTATATTTATATTTGCTTGGATTTATATTCTGTGCTCTCTTTCACAAGTAATACAAAGCTAAAACATGGCCCAGTGTGCAAGCTCCAGAGGAGATCATGGCTGCATTGCTCCCTCATTCCTGCTCCTGCTGCACTTCAGTGAGCTTAGCCCCATAACGCCCCTTTTGGGCGACATTTACCAGCCATAGGTCAACTGGCTGAGCTGGGATGTGCAAGGTACACCAGTGTATCTTGACTGAACCAGGGTTGGGGACTTTATGCCATCTCAACCGGACTGAACAGGAGATCTGTATCATGAGTGGCACATCTTGCCATAGGTTTGTCCCTATAAAGCTTTTTAAAAAATAAATCAGTCACTGTCCTTTGGAGGTTCAAATCTGTAAGATTTTTCATCCAGCCTTGAATCCTTGCCACTTTCAGTGTAATGTTTATCAGTGCTTGTGCTTTAAAGTTTAATAGTGTCTCCCAGTACTATGGATGCAATCTGATTGTTAAACCTCCCTGTTAGCAGAGGAACAGCGCTCAATCCCTCTTCCCATGGAACTCTGGGAATTTTAGTTCTGAGAAGGGAATAGAGGTCTAACAACTCTCAGCCCCTGTAACAAACTACAATTTCCAGGATTCTGGGATTTAAATGTCTGGTGTTAACGCTTCTATTGTACTATTGTAAGAGATTGAATAAGGTCTTTTCTTCTAAATTGCTTGGTAGCTTACTCAGTCTTCAGTAAGCAATCATTTGCTAAACTTTATCTCAGAACGTACTGATGTTTGGGTAATATGCAAATTTACTTAAGCAATTGGTTAAAAGACAGATTGTTAACAAACCAAAATACTTTAATCAGCTGACAGCTCCAATGAAATGTGTTATAATAATATGTTGGTGTCTGAAAGACGTTATTAGTTTTACTTGTAAAAAAACCACTATGTCACAAATGGCAGAGTTGTAGATTACATTTCCACTAAGCATATACAGAAAATTGGAGAGCTCAAGGTAGCTTATTGTCCTTTATTAGTATTATAGGGACTTTTAAACAGAAGCAGACTTGAAGAGGACATTTCATTTGCACCTGTAGTTAACTGCTTCAAAAGCAGGCTCTCAGAGAGATGAATGAAAGACTAGAGTGATCCATAGAATTTAAGTTAGAAAATCTGTTCTTGTGTGTATGATTGTCTAATAACCTCTTACAGCAATCATCTGTTTTTCAAGCCCTTAAGAGATTTATGGAGATGTGAAACACATCCAGTACAAAGGTCTATTTTAAATATCATTACAACTCTTCAGTTGGAATTTTAAAAGTAAGACTGTCTTTCTTTGAAATTTCAACATATACTGTACTATAAAATGTTGACATACTATTTATTTAAATTTTGGAACTCAATTTTAAAGAAAATCAGAGAGGATGGTCTTGTTGGTTAGTAAGGTTAAGGTGTGTAGTTTAGATTGGATAGAAAAAATGTAGTGCCCTCTAGCTGTTGTATTACAACTCCCATCAGTTCCAGACAGGCCAGGGATTATGAGAGTCCTAGTAAAACAAATGTCTGGAAGGTCATCATGTTGTTCAGATGGAGGATACCTGGTTTAGATTCACAACCCAGTTGAATTTTGTAACTTCATGTAATTCCATTCTGTCATATGAAACATTTAAGTGTAAAGAAGACAACAGGAGTGAGCTTCTTTAAAGTTTGAAATTGCTTTCATATCAGACACAGAAAACAGAAGTATGTCTGGAAGTTTCTTGGATTAAAGCTGTGCGTTTACAGCCGCATCTGTAGGTGGGTTAAGCTAGAGTACTTGGATTTAAGGTTTTTGACCACTTGGCTTCAAGTGCTTTAACTTAAAAACTTTGTGGATTGCAGATCTAGGCAGGTGCTCTGCTCTGCCCTCATGATTGAGGGGGCCGTGGCCGTGCAACGTCACCACGCCCACCACCCCATGGTGTGCATGAGCCCCGGCCCCCTCGGTTTTGTGAAAAATGGAATAGCAGGGTGTTTTCTGATGGTTAAAGAGCTGCAATTCTTTGAACTGTGATTCTTCATGAAAAAATATAACATTATTTCCTCCCCTATATACAGATCCGCAAGATGAGAATAAAATTGGCATTGATGGGATTCAACAGTTTTGTGATGATTTAAGCTTGGACCCTGCTAGTATCAGTGTTTTGGTCATAGCATGGAAATTTAGGGCAGCCACGCAGTGTGAATTCAGCAAAAAAGAATTTGTAGATGGCATGACAGAACTGGGGTGAGTATGCCTTTCTTTAATAGGACTTCAAAATGTTCTTAGTAGACCAAAAGTAACTTTCTGAAATATTTAAAGATGTGCATACTGAACAATTGTATTATTTAATCACACATGTCTTATTTATACACATATAACCTGAGTTGTGGTCCAAAGAAGCGATTTGTTATCAGACAAACTGTGCATGTATCCAGAGCTTTCTGCGTAGCATTCATTTGCCACTCAATCTCCTATAGCTAACTGTAGACACTTTTAAAATCGAACATTGGCTTTCCTAGTTCACTATGGGAACTGTCCTAGTAAAAACTACCCAAAGATGCTCTTAGCCATGCACATGGTTTCATTAGATGGATGTGAATTTCTAGAGTTGGAGCTTTTCCTAGTAGGGACAATTTCGTTCCCCAGTCCTTCTGGTCTGTTCCCTGCAGTTAAGACCATATTTATGGCTCTTTTGGATTCAGTTGAAGTGTCGTGGAACACAGAAGACCTCCAGCTAGAGGTTTGAACCATTTAAGAGTTTGTTCTTTAGTGGTGCAGCAATAAAAATACTAGCACATTTGCAAAGCTAAGCAGGGTCCTGTATAGTTTCAGTTTGGATGAGGGAACCTCGTGTTGTGAATCTTGCATTGCAAGGAGTTGGACTAGATGTTCTTCAGAGTCCCTTCCAACTTTACAATTCTGTGATTCTGTATGGTTTTCCAAAATAGGGTGGAGCCTAGGAGAGGTGGACTGGAAACAGAAGCCCCAAATGTCCCAGTTCACTTTCAACCCCTTTTGAAATACATTGCTCACTAGGAGCTCTCCATGGTGCTGTGACAACTGCCTTGCTCCATTGGCTCCTCCACAGAACCAGAGCAAAACAGTTCATTTTTTTCTGTTATGTAACACATAATGTCTAAGATGACAATTCTCAGGTTCATCTTTCTCAGTAGCACATGCTTCTCTCAGTACTTGCTTACTAGCATGTGCTTTCATCCTCCTCATCTTCTTACAATGATTCTAATGTCCTCTTGTCGCTTTCAAACGTGACCAAATGTTTTTTTTTAAAATGTCATTTGAAGTCACTAAACATATATTTGGCTTTGTTGACATAAAAGGTCAAAATTTCTCCCATTCTTACCCATGTAATTAGTTTATCACAAGATGGACAAAATTTGATGTTTTTGTTTTGTTCAGTAAATAGATTTTATATTTTCTTCATAAGGCCTGCTTGAATTTATTTTCCTCTGTTGCCCTGGGGCAGTGAGACCTTGAATGGTTTTGAGCTCTCACACTTTCCCACAGATGTAGAATTTAACATTTAAAACAGGAGTTAAAATAAATACAGGATCATAATACTTGAAGTAGATCTTCTATGCATGGTGCAAGAATGAAGCAGAAATGAATGAAAGAATTAGGAGGAAGTAGCCAACCTAGCAGTTTGAAAGCACGCCAAAAAAGTGCAAGTAGATAAATAGGTACCGCTCCGGCAGGAAGGTAAACGGCGTTTCCGTGTGCTGCTCTGGTTTCAGTGTTCCATTGCGCCAGAAGCGGCTTAGTCATGCTGACCACATGACCCGGAAGAAACTGTCTGTGGACAAACGCCAGCTCCCTTGGCCTGTAAAGCAAGATGAGCGCCGCAACCCCAGAGTTGTCTGCGACTGGACAACTGTCAGGGGTCCTATAACTTTTACCTTTTAGAGGTGCTGGAAGACAGTATCTCCGCACATGGACAGCTAGGGTGTCTGTAGTGCCTGATGACAAAGGGGTGAAGGCTCTGGGTGTAGCCTTTCCCCAGACTTGTATATTGCTGATTGTTCCTAGTAGAACTGTTTCAACTAGACATTCATGCTGCTAAGTTAGTCCTATTGGACCTAAAAATTCTGGCTTAAGTCAAGTAGCCTGCTGGAGGAGGGTTGCCAATTTGACATCAGTTTTTATCAGTGCTGTAGCAAACCTTTGCTTGGGCTTTGCCAAGAAAGGCTGAGCTTAACCATCACAAAAAATAGCTTAGGTGGAGAATAGCTGGTTGCTTTTTATCTGCTGCTGTATTAAATTGCTGGGTTGTTTTTGTGTTTTATTTTTAATCTCATATGCCACTTTGAGTCTCCCTGCGCTGAAAATAGTAGTAAAGTACTACTGTTTTATTTCTATGTTAGGTATTATTCCTCCTGTTTGTGTTTTTAAGCTGTCAGATTATTTTATTTATATTTTTATATATTGTTGAATGAATATTTTGGTATTTATTTATAAACATTATGATTCTACCTGATAGGGTTTTTTTTAAAAAAAATGTTTTTCTTATCACTCATTTGATACATCGGAGACTACTCAGGGCACAATTTTGTTCAAAAGTGGCATACAAGGTGATGATGATGATGAAATGTGTGGTAAAAATAATATATAAAGTTAACCAAGTATTTGTCTCACAATGCTAATGTGGACTTGGAGACAACTAGCAGGCTCAAGAGAATATTTAAACATTCCTCTGCCATTTTTTTCCTGTACAAATGTTTCAATCCAATATTCATGTTACCATGGTAAATGCTGATTGGTGTTCATGTAGTTCTGTCCTGCTTTTAAATGGTTTTAATAACATTTTATTGATTTTTAGCTGTTTTAAATGCGTATTTTGTAGCCTAGAGGCAGGGTGAAAATGAAAATAAATAAAGCAGTTGTGCAGGTTTTTTTTGCATCCCAGCCACAGCACTTTAATGAAGAATTGTGGAATAATTCATAGTCACTAGTTCTGTTAAAATCTTAAATTATCATGCCAGTTAGTCTTATGCTGATCCTTGCCTTGTATATAAAAACTTTTTAATAAAGATGATTACACTCTTTTAATAAAGAATATATCTTATCTTGAACAGTGAGAGCATATTTGTCATGTTTTTGTTGGTGTATTTAAACTGTAGGGTTTTTTGTTATAAAAAGAATGTAATATTTTCACCAGGTGTGATACTACGGACAAGCTAAAAACACTTTTGCCAAGGCTGGAACAAGAATTAAAGGATCCAATGAAGTTTAAAGATTTTTATCAGTTTACCTTTAACTTTGCTAAGAACCCTGGACAAAAAGGTTTAGGTGAGTTATGTTGTGTGGTTTTTTTAAGTTGAAGATAAAAATCAATTAATGTTCTTTCTGTAATCAGTTCCCTTCCCCAAGTTTTCATCTTCAGCTGGAAAGTTCAGATGTACAGTTGTGGCTTCAATTTAAGTAGCATTATCTTTAGATTACAGTGGTACCTCTGGTTACGTACTTAATTCGTTCCAGAGGTCCGTTCTTAACCTGAAGCACCACTTTAGCTAATGGGGCCTCCCACTGCTGCTGCACCATCGGAGCATGATTTCTGTTCTCATCCTGAAGCAAAGTTCTTAACCCGAGGTATTATTTCTGGCTTAGCGGAGTCTGTAACTTGAAGCGTATGTAACCCGAGGTACCACTGTACAGTTTCGTTGCAACTACTCTCTGCAAACAATTTCAGGGAAAGGTTGCCTGAGAATCTTTTGGGGACACTTCCAGGTTCGGTGCAATGCAGGTCTGTGCTGTCACGCACATATCAGACACACCTAAAATGGTCACTGCCAGCAATAGTAGTAGTAGTAAACTGCTATCTAAGAAACCTTTAAGTAAGGAAGTAAGCCTGCAAAAATAATGTTTGTTCTAATTAACACAAATGGGAGATGTGTACATTAAGACACTTTTGAACAATAAGACTAATGTGTTCATGACCACAGTTTATTGAAAAATGACATTATATGCCAAGAATCATCTTAGAACTGCAGTTGTTCATATGCTCCATTAGAGTAGCATATGAGGGTAATTTTTCAGAGATACAGGAATGTTTTAAAGGATGTTCGTACACAATCATACCCCAAATTGATTGTAGCTATTGCACAATCTCCAGGAAGTGTTATTCTGTTGTTATTGCTAATACAGATACAGTGGTACCTCTGGTTGCTAATGGGATCTCTTCCGGAGGTGCGCAGTGTGATATGGCGCTTGTGCGCATGCGCGAAGCACGATTTAGCACTACTGCGAATGCTCGAGTGGTGAAACCCGAAAGTAACCCTTTCCGGTACTTCCGGGTCGCCACGAGAGCAGCCTGAAAAAAACGTAACATGAGCTATGACTGTACCTCATCTACACTTAGGAGGCTAGACTTGCCAACGTTGGCAACCTTTTTTCAAATTTTGCTAGGTGTGTGTTTCCATATGCAAATTGTTTTGGGAGGGAGAACACACATTGGTGTGAGCAAATTTATTTACTAGGTGTGCTCCTGGATGTGGATTATACTATTATTAATTAATTAATTAATTAAATTTATATATCTCCCTATACCTGCAGGGGAATGCAGAATCTTCAACAACTATTTTATGTTTAATGTTGTCAGAATAATAGTGTAGCACATTTGAATAAGAAGTTAAATGTGGGTTGCAATAGTCTTTTCTAAATATGACTTATATGCTTTACTATGACATATACTTTACTTTTCTGTATTTCACCATTATCTACTACTATCTTTATTACGGTCCAGAGACCCAACAAAACATTACAAATCAATACAGAGTTCATACAGCCTACCTCCAGGTTAATCAAGCACTTTGTTTGGAATATAGGGCTCATTTGTTCTTGCAACCACCGATAAAAACTTTGCCACTGCCAACGTTTTAGCTTTTGTCCGGTCTTCCAGTAGTAACCTGACATAGTGAGCCTCTGACTTTCCCGGGAAAGGCACCAGCAAGGGTAGTATCAGTTCAGCCCTGGCCTGCTCATACTTCGCACAATGTAACAAAATATGATTTATGGAATCGATGTCCTGAGCACACGAGCAAAGTCTGTCCTGGTAGGGAACTCCTCTCAACCTACCATCCAGCACTGCAGAGGGGAAGACATTCAGTCTGGCTTTGGTGAAAAGCCTTCGATAGTTAGGTACTGTCAAGTTTTTGATGTAAGATGTTAACTCAAAGACATACCCATATTAAACTCCTGCTGCCAGCGGACTACAGACTGCGTGTGACCGAGATCACAAGTCACTGTGTGCATTGTCCCATAATCTTTGCTTTAAAACCTTTTGGGCACCTTCATAGCCCAGGTAATACAGTTGGGGGGGGGGAGACAGACCAATAGAGGTGGCTTTTTTAGCCATGGTTTTCTGCCATTTGCTGACAAATGTCACCATTATCATGAGTACACATGAATGAAGATAGTCTGGTTCTAAGTTTTGTTTTAATGTGTCTTTAAATTTATCTACCACACCAAAGGAATGCTAGTTTTATCTTTACGGCTCAGACACAGTAGCTGTGAAGATCGTATACTGGAGCGCAAACTATTTGTGTTCATGCTCTGGGAACCAAAACTGTAGTTCTGTTGTTGCTAATCCAGCCTTTCTTGTAACCAAAACTGGAAATGGTCAAAGCTAGAATTAGTAATATAAACCTCAGAAGAAACAATATTAGAAGCAAATATAGTACAGAATTAAATTCGGTTCTCATGTTGTCTTAGTGGGTGCTGGTATGGAGGGGAAAACAGGTTTAAATGGAGGGAGCCTAACTTACTCCATAAATGAGGTTTGGAAGCAGCCAAACTCCTGGCTATCTATGACCACACTGATCATTTGCATCAAAATGTCATTGACCTCTGATAAACCTAGTTGTAACAAAGCCCAAGATAAAGCTACAATCCTGTTTCTGTTTCTTAGTTTAATGGGAAATTTTTCTGAGTAAACATACATAAGATTGGTTTATAAGAATTATAAATGAAGAATTGTTGCCTTGGCATCTTACATAAACTGAAACATCATTGATGTTCAAACAAGGTTATTCTCCTGGCCACACACGTTATTTTGGTATAATCACTCGGAGTCACAGGTTAAATCACATTTGGAAATTAGTACTGGATAATTATGTATTTTGCTAAAAGTTAATAACTTGAAATCTTTCAACATTTTCCCCCTCAATGAGTTGTATCGCCTTGTTCTTATGCCAGAGGTATTTTATTCTTTCAAAACTTAAAGTGGTAAACAATGAATACAAAAAAAAAGGTGTTTTTAAAAGCAAGTCTTCCATGTTTAGGACTAGCGTCACACACATACAAACACCAAGGCTTTACTGTAGAATCACTAAAGGATCTCTCTAAACCTATATTGGTAATTTTTTTTTATCTTGGTTTAAAAATTACTCATTCTATATTGGCTTAGAGCGCAGCATCTTTCATATGATTATATATTGTATGTTATGCTTATGTATTTCAGATCTAGAAATGGCAATCGCATATTGGAATTTAGTTTTATCAGGGAGATTTAAATTTCTAGATCTTTGGAATAAATTTTTATTGGTAAGTACAATATCGGAAGTCCATAGAGGCATCAGAAGTCTTTACCTTTGCATATTAAGCATTTACAGTGCAACAAACCCAGAGCTCGGTCCTACTCTCCCCGATGGGGAAGGGGGTTCAGAATGGTGTGTTAGTGTCCTGGCAGAAAAGAATGCTGCTGGCGGGGGTTCTGTCACAGTGAATATGTCAGCTTTCTCCAAGCAGGTGATAAGCTCCTTCTGGAGGTTGGCAGCAGAAAACCCTGATAAGTGTGAGAGAGGCATTAGTAGCTTTGGATGCACTCGATCCAAAGCCCCATGGATCCCCTAAGGGGCCTGGTCCTTGGGCACGTCAGATCTGGCAAAGCAAAAAAGAGAATATAGACATGCCCTCCCTTCCACCATCTCTGGCATGAGCAGCAGGGCTTTTGGGTGCAGCAGTGGATCTGCTGCTCTCAAGCCAGGTTTGGGATTGATTTGCTGACCTTATGACTTTTTACTCAGATGTTGTGCCCAGCTGAGATTTTACAAAATTTGTGACAAAATCTAAAAATAGTTTATACCAGCTTATTTTTCTTGTGTAGGAGCATCATAAAAGATCAATCCCCAAAGATACTTGGAATCTTCTTTTAGACTTTGGAAATATGATTGCAGATGATATGTCAAACTACGATGAAGAAGGTAACTGATGTAGATGTTCAAAATTAAATGGAGTGGTGCTGAAGTAATACTGTCCATAAACATTTGCCCTGTGTGTCCACTAGGTGAAGTATTGGGGGGGGGGCGCTGCAAAATAATGTTGACCCTAAAATGTAGCTGAAGCATTTTGTAATTTGCGCTTGGCTATGCAACTTGGCTTCCCTCTGGAAGATTTAATATGAATAAAATCTGAGTTGTGAACACGTGTGCAAAGATAAATGCATTGCTTTTTAAACATTCAAAGGCTTTGACTCAAAGCTGTTTAACTGTTTTTTATTTTTAGGAGCATGGCCAGTTCTAATAGACGATTTTGTGGAATACGCACGACCAGTAGTCACAGGAGGAAAACGTAAAGCTTCCTAACCATAGACTCTTCTCAGTGGACTTAATAAGTTTGCAGTCTGAACTGCATCAGGTAATGAAGACATTTTGGCCAATAACTGTGCGCACTGTCACTGGTTTCGATAGTCGTGGTGGGATGCCACTGACGAAACAGGAATCATTACTTCTGCTTCAAGAAAATGATGGCTGACTCATGGACACTGCAAGAAGAAATTCAGAAGATAGCCCAGGCTGTTTGTAGGATATTGGCTTCAATTATTGTACTGGTTGTATCATATAGGATGTAGATTTTGCATGATTTTATACTTTGGAGAAGTTTAACTAGAGGCCATTTTAGTAAAAGTTTTGACAGCACAGCATGCCATTCAGTTCATGAACACCAGCAGTTACATAATTACAACTGTATTATATTGTACTTATATTAAAAAGCAGTATTTGTGGTATATAAATTAAATCCCTAAATAAAGTATGTGGTATGTGGTATTTTTATATGAAGTTAAAGCTGATGAAAGAATGCAGTGAAATGTTTATTGACACATCTCTTCAGCATGGTGCCAAGATTCTAAATTTATGGAAAGGCCAAGCTGAACCATTTTTTTAAAAAGCTTGATTTCCTCATTCCACACTGACCTTATGGGATTTTGTTTGTACTTGATCAATAACGAGGCAACCAAGTATCTGTATTGTGGCTGCTAATATTTTGAATGTAGAGGAAACATTCAAGAATCATTTGATATTTCATGATTGCCTATTGAATTTTCTAAGTATATTATGTATACGATCTGGCTCAAGACCATTTTAAGTTCCTCTGATATTAGTGGAAGCAAGGCATACACATGCTTAATTCTCCCACTGAAATCAAAGTCACTTAAAAAGTGCTTAAGTTCATTTGATTATGTTGTTATATATGCAGCAGTCTGATAGTGATTTCCAAATCATGGCCAAGAACTCAAGGTGAATTGATTGTCAACTCATAGATTAAGGACGGAAAAATGCATTGCGCCTTGACCTAAGGTGGGTTCCACAAATGGTACCAGCATCATTTTATATTTTTTAAACAATATAGATGCAAAGGAAGACAGGACTGTTGTGCCTCCTATGTAGAAGGAGTGATTTCAGCAGACATATCTTTCTCAGCCTGCATGATTTCCCTTCTTGAATTTCCTCTTCTGTATGACAGCTGAAGTTGCAGGAGCCCATCTCTTCATTGTAACTTGTTATCCTAGAAAGAATCAGAGGAAGGTGAACGTTTGCAATAAATAAAGTAAATAAATTAAATTGGTTCCCATGTTGCATCTAATAAGGTTGAAAACATGTAAAGTGGTGGATTTCACAAGCCTTCCTTTTGAGTTACAAAAGAGCCAATAGAGGGTAATGTCAAGCTATGTAGTACAAGGTGACCAATTTCACTTTTAGACTAGGTTAACATCATCAGCCCTTCTTAAACGAGCAATGCAAACAAATAGAGGAAAACAACAGAATGGGAAGAACCAGAGATCTGTTCAAGAAAATTGGAGATATGAAAGGAACATTTCGTACAAAGATTACCATAATAAAGGACAAAAGTGGTAAGGACCTAACAGAAGCAGAAGACATCAAGAAGAGGTGGCAAGAATACACAGAAGAATTATACCAGAAAGATATGGATGTCTCGTACACCCCAGGTAGTGTGGTTGCTGACCTTGAGCCAGACATCCTGGAGAGTGAAGTCAAATGGGCCTTAGAAAGCACTGCAAATAACAAGGCCAGTGGAAGTGATGGTATTCCAGCTGAACTATTTAAAATTTTAAAAGATGATGCTGTTAAGGTGCTACACTCAATATGCCAGCAAATTTGGAAAACTCAGCAGTGGCCAGAAGATTGGAGAAGATCAGTCTATATCCCAATCCCAAAGAAGGGCAGTGCCAAAGAATGCTCCAACTACCGCACAATTGCACTCATCTCACACGCTAGCAAGGTTATGCTTAAAATTCTACAAGGAAGGCTCAAGCAGTATGTGGATCGAGAACTCCCAGAAGTGCAAGCTGGATTTAGAAGAGGCAGAGGAACCAGAGACCAAATTGCAAACATGCGCTGGATTATGGAGAAAGCCAGAGAGTTCCAGAAAGACATCTACTTCTGCTTCATTGACTATGCAAAAGCCTTTGACTGTGTCGACCACAGCAAACTATGGCAAGTTCTTAAAGAAATGGGAGTGCCTGATCACCTCATCTGTCTCCTGAGAAATCTCTATGTGGGACAAGAAGCTACAGTTAGAACTGGATATGGAACAACTGATTGGTTCAAAATTGGGAAAGGAGTACAACAAGGCTGTATTTTGTCTCCCTGCTTATTTAATTTATATGCAGAATACATCATGCGAAAGGCTGGGCTGGATGAATCCCAAACCGGAATTAAGATTGCCGGAAGAAATATCAACAACCTCAGATATGCAGATGACACAACCTTGATGGCAGAAAGTGAGGAGGAATTAAAGAACCTTTTAATGAGGGTGAAAGAGGAGAGCGCAAAATATGGTCTGAAGCTCAACATCAAAAAAACGAAGATCATGGCCACTGGTCCCATCACCTCCTGGCAAATAGAAGGGGAAGAAATGGAGGCAGTGAGAGATTTTACTTTCTTGGGCTCCATGATCACTGCAGATGGTGACAGCAGCCACGAAATTAAAAGACGCCTCCTTCTTGGGAGAAGGGCAATGACAGGCCTAGACAGCATCTTGAGAAGTAGAGACGTCACCTTGCCAACAAAGGTCCGTATAGTTAAAGCCATGGTTTTCCCAGTAGTCATGTATGGAAGTGAGAGCTGGACCATAAAGAAGGCTGATCGCCGAAGAATTGATGCTTTTGAATTATGGTGCTGGAGAAGACTCTTGAGAGTCCCATGGACTGCAAGAAGATCAAACACATCCATTCTTAAGGAAATCAGCCCTGAGTGCTCACTGGAAGGACAGATCGTGAAGCTGAGGCTCCAGTACTTTGGCCACCTCATGAGAAGAGAAGACTCCCTGGAGAAGACACTGATGCTGGGAAAGATGGAGGGCACAAGGAGAAGGGGGCGACAGAGGACGAGATGGTTGGATAGTGTTTTCGAGGTTACCAGCATGAGTCTGACCAAACTGCGGGAAGTAGTGGAGGACAGAGGTGCCTGGCGTGCTCTGGTCCATGGGGTCACGAAGAGTCGGACACGACTAAACAACAACAACAACAACATCATCATCAGCTGTGTTCTGCTAAGGTGAAACTTCAGTAAGAAAAATAGAAACTACAAACAACAGTAATGAACTGAATCTTTCATTTCACCACTAGATGCCAGTATAACAGCTTTTAGATATCTCTTACTTTTCTAGCCAGGTGGTTAGGCTAGGAACTGTGAAAAAGCCAGGTACAGTATTCTCAAAAGGTCATTCAACTACCTTAATGCATTTGCCCAGAAATGTATCTGGACATTAAATGTCTTCAGATGGGGTCTACAGCAGGCCTTCCTAATTTGTGGCTCTCTAGATGTTCCTGGACTAGAAGTCTCATCATCCTTGAGTCTTGGCCGTGCTGCCTGAGGCTGATAGCTGTTAAGAGTCCATATGGAGTGCCACAGATTAGCTATCTGTGATTTACAGCAAAAAAAGACCCTAACAGGTTGCACTAGCTTTGAAACTGTCCTTGCAAGATCAGTGGGATAGAAATGCTTTGTCTTTAAATGTTAAACCCTTGCTTTTTTCTAATAACCAGTTATATTTGTCTACCGCTTCTTAATCTAAGTGTTAAACAGTTAAAATGTGATATTGGATACAGACATGTATTGCAGGTTAAACATGAAAATCTTAGCAGCATGTTGATCGTTTGTATTAGAATTTAACTTGCAGCTTAATGTATTTGAGCATGCAGATGGTTATCACAACCCTTACGTTTTCCTGTTCTTATATTTTGAGGATATATGTCCTTAATACAGTTTAGTATGATGGGCAATATTTGCAAAATTTAACATATCCCTGATACATTGAGAATTCTGGAACTTCATGGGGATCCCAGAGTTGATCGAGGGACAAGATTTTAATTAATGGTGGCCAAATTCCTAAATATACGCTGCATAATTTTCTGCAACATCTAGTGTTTGATTAACCTTAAAACTGCAATGAAGAGAATGATGATTGATAGCACTGTCTCCATTCATCAGAGCCAACAAAATACTTGTTATTGTGCACCAAAAATGATAATTAACAAGTCATAAAATGGGGAATGGATTTATACATTAAAGGCAATAAGCACAAAACACAATATAACAATATTATTTTCAAATCACAGCAAACTTTTGAATTGAGTTATAATTTCCAGTACATGTAACAGGAAATAAGCTGGAATGAAAAAGGCTTGCTCAAGAACAAACAATTACTCCGAACCCAGGTGTTCAAAGCAAATCCAGCTGATTTATCAGTAGTGTCAGATGGACTCTCTAGTATGTGCATGACAGTTGTGCAACTGAGTAACAGCAATCTTGATGGCAAAAGAGATATTACTACCTGATGAAATAAGTTCATTTAATTAGTAATACCAAAATTTGGTTTGAGTGCTAAATTCTCTGCAGAAAATGTATGAATGAAGATTACTGTAATCTCTGAAAATATGTTTTGGGACAATCTTACACAAATGTAACCCATGCTTTGTTAAAACTGCCAGGTTTTTTCTTCTAACCCTATGCACTTCAGGGAATTAAAACAGGAAGTGGTCAGTTGCCATAACTAATTCATATTTTTAAATATGGATCTTCCAAAATACCGATGGATCATCATCTTGTTCGGCTTGTAAAGCTGTTTTTGTATTACTATATTAGAAAATAATTTTATATTCTCAGAGGTGGAATGAAGAGAATATTAAAAGATGGCCTTTCCTTTTAGCAATGAGTAGCACCTTTTTGTTAGCTTGTGAGTTGCCTTACAGAACTACCCCTTTCCTTCACAGGCCTGTGAAATTTTGTGTCACATTTTATTTAAATCAAGTTGTTCATAGTTTACACTTCTGTATTTTCCCACAGTGGATAAAATGTAAAAGTATTTTCCTACCTACATGCTCAAGTGTGAATCCTGCCAGAGATATTTTTTTTAATGAGAGAGAACCTTGAATTATGCTGGAAATAGAAACCAAAGCTAAGCATCCATTGGGGAACACCTAGTTGCCTCAGAATAACCTAACTATGTGTGTACATAATGTGATTCTCATGCAGGAGCACTAGAAAGGAAACACTGTTCAGCTACTTCTGTATGGCCCAGTGTTGTTTCACTGAAATAAAACATTTATGAGTGTGCTGCAGGGCAGCAAACAAACTTAAAGCCAGCTCAGTTCATTGATGAATTGGCTTTCCGTTTTCTTCTTTTTATTGCTAGCTTCCTTCTCACCTTTATGGTCTTCTTCCTCTGCTGTCTTTAATCACTGTCCTTGTTTTGTGTTTTTCTCAGTTCCCCCCCCCAAAAGTAACTGAATACAGTACTACAAAAGTCAAAGAAAAATATGCTCATTTGCACAGCTGTAAAAATAAACCTCCTGATTACAGCATGTGTTTTTCTAGGTGTAGAGTTACTTGAACTGGATAGCCAAAATATTTCTTGGCTTGCTTTGTCCAGGATTGTTAGGAGGGTTTTTGATTTTTGCTACTTGCATGGACTAGTGCATTGCACACTTTGGGAGCTTGCAGCTTAAAAATAAGTCAGAAAATTCTTGGACTAACAATTTCTATCCCTTCATTGGATGTCGGACAAGTGGTGGCATCTGCAAAGCCAGAAAAGGAAAGGCTTGCCTTATACAGACAGCTCTGTGCAATGACACAATGGCTCCGATATAAAGTGTTGCTTGACCTGAGCTTGGAAGGCAAAGGAACAAAGAAACAACAAGTGACAGTTTTTGAGAACCGAAGAAGCATTGAAGTCCCCTTATGATGGATAAATTTAAGGCTGCTCTGTTGCTGGCAGGGGTAGGAGACGCTCTGGGCTATCGGAATTTCACGCGGGAAAATAATGCATTAGGTGCAAAGATTCAAGGGGAACTGAAAGAAATTGGAGGACTCGAGAACCTGGTCCTGTCATCTGACAAATGGCCAATCAGTGATAATACTCTTATGCACATGGCTACAGCTGAGGCTCTCGTCACAGGTAGGAAAAACTTCAGGTTGTATGCAAGCTGGGAGGGGAAGGCTAAAACTGGAGAACAGCTGTAATTATTGTGCTCTGTTACCTAAGCAGCGAGTTTGTGCAGAAATTCATGCTACCTTCAGTTATCAATACATATGATGTCCTGGTTTTGCCATATAACTAGCATGGTTGCTGAGAATGTAACTGATACAAGGAGTCTTCCCTTCAAATACCACCTCAAGTGTGAGCTTGCTAGGTGGCCAACTATTTCTCATCTTTCTATTTCAATATGGAGAAGAGAATACTGGTCTACCTTATTACTGAGAATAATTGAGTCTCAATGTTCTCACACTATATATATATGAATGAGAATGAATATGATTTCCATTCACAGTAAGAAGGTTACATAGTCTCTTCATTGGTTGTATAAAATTTATTAGAACACATTTTTCTTTCACTGGATGCATTGACATAAACTTGCCTTGAATGAAACATGGATGGGGAAAAGAAAACCTTAAGACATTTTCCTTTATCAGAGTTGTCTGTTCCTGACTGGTATATAGACAGCTGCCCATCATAGTAAGTATCAACTCCCTTTGCATAAAAAGCATCCAATATTGTCAAGTTATTGAATGCAACGGTATCTTACAACCCAAATTATGTGTTGTTTTTATGATACTTTCAAGATAACTGCTAAACAAAACATCTGTATCTTCACTGAACACAAATGCTCTCCAAATGTGTTGCACTTCTCAGTGTGTTTTCTAGAATCGGGAAAGTCAATGAAATTTCTCTGACATTCCACTCTTATCTGACTGCTGCTGAGATGCTCTAAATTTAGCCACCAGAGGCCTGTTGAAGAGAATCTGGGATATTTCGTGTCTAGCTACTGGTTAGCCAATGATGTGAGCAGGAGCTAATACCCTAAAGATAATGGCAAGATGTCAACCTATCATGGAAAAGGATGACTAACATACTTCTGAATATAGTCAGTGATTAAATGCATGTCACATGTTTCCTGCTTCTTGACCTCTGTATGAGCATAAATGTTATCTGCAAGGCTTATCAAGCTGCTTTGCAACCATTTTTAGCTGTACAAAAGCAAGCTACATACATATCCCTCTGCCTATAGCATATACAGCAGGGGAGCTGCTGTTTCTAAATCTCATTTTTGAACTTCTGTCTGAATTCCATCAATTGCAATTGCAAGCACCAGTTGTTTTAATACATGTGTGCTGCATGATCTTCCTGTTTTAGACATAGGAACATGATAAAGTCAGTTTCTAGCCATTTAAGACAATACATGCTTTCCCATTTTGAAAAGCAAAATGCACCTTAACTTGCTGATCATGGGTTGAGATAGTACAAGCAAGCTCCCTTTTACACGTGTTCTATATGTGCCTGACCGTCTGGAAGTGACCCAAAAACATCACGAAAAGGGGTGGGGTGGGGGGCAGAACAAGGTTTTTGCAGGCTTTTCCAATGGTGTTTCAAATATACGCAATTTCTTGTAATCCTCCCCCCGCCCACGTAAATGGGGGTTGCCTGTATCACCATTTGTGTCTACTGGACTGAGCATTGAATGAAACATAATTTGAAATCTAATAATGGCATCTGGTTTTGTCTTAAGTGTAAGGCATCTATCTGAACCCTATCTTCCTTTGGTAATCTCTAAATTGATTTACCATAACTTATCTTTTAGGGTTGTTGAAACCAGAACATAAAAATCTCAGGCTAGACTGTAGAGTGGCTGTTTCTGCAGCTTCACAGTCCTAATGTTTTCTAGAGCAGGTAACATCACTTTTCAGTTGCCTCCCTCCTTAAAGCAAGCTATACAATATTATTTCCCTCCATACCCTTACCATTTTCCAAATGTGAAAAATCAATAGCGTCTAGACCATAAAGTTGAATATATAGCTGCCATTGATCAAAACAATTGTGCTATCTCTTGGCCAGGATAGTATTATGGCTTTGTGGTGGGGGTAAGGTAAAAAAGTAAGATGTATGCAGAGACCTTCCTAACCCCTGGATCCCACAAGTGTTATAATATAAGCCAAGCTAGTTTCCTGGTGAGGTGATTGCCTGGGTGATGGGCCATTAAAGGTAACAAAGGAAAGAGGTGTATGTGAGATGGGAAAGGGATGGTTAGTTAGAAGGAAAAGCAGAGTTGAGATATGACCTAGAAGGAAAACAGCAAGCTGGGGAGAGTGTCAGATCAATGTTTGATTTCTGTTTGAATTCAAGGCTGCAGCTATGGGAGAAACAAAACCCTCTAGTGTTGCTAATGCTGCAAACCCATCCATTGTAGGCTCAGGTTCTATGTACATATAAACCCTATAAAGAAACCACAGTCTGCACTGTGCCTCATTCCAAAAGGAAACAAACCCTGGGTTAGCTCCTGGAGCCCCTGGAATCTCGCGTCACTGAGAGATTGTGGTGGCGTGCAACAATATGTAGACATGTGATCATCTGCTTCTCCTACGTCAAGGCATATGGACCACTGGCATTCATGGCAGAGTGGCCCAGGACCTATGATGCTATCAGAGCCATTGACCAGATGGTGTGCATCAGGTGTATCTGTATTAATACTGCAGGATTCAGTGTGACCTAAATCAACAAGTGCAGTGGGCAGAAGGGCTGTAGTGAGATGGGCTGCCTTGAAATTACAAATATAACAAGTTGCAGGAGGCCAAACAGGTCTGCATATTCCCCCATCATGGCCAATACAATTCTATCTGAATCTCCAAGTTGCCTGTGTTTGGCCCTTTTCAGTGTTAGCACTGCATCAGTTCTGATGATGAGAAAGTTCGATGCCCAGCTAGTAGATAAAGCACCAGTGAGCATGGTTGTGAACCTTTTAGCTGCAATTTGCACACTATGGAAGCAGCTGCTCACGCAAGCTCAAAAACTGGTGGCTGCCTCCTTATATTGGCAGTAGGTGCACATATATGGTTGAAGCTGATAGCCATGCTCTGGGAACCTCCTGGAAGCTACCTCCAGCATTTCTGTATTCAGGCACATATATTGAGTTAACAGAAAAACAGAACTGGAAACTGTTAAGTCTGTGTACCCCTTCTTATTTTGGCTGTGTTTATACTACTGCTTGCTATGCACTTGGGACGCAGGTGGTGCTGTGGTCTAAACCACACAGCCTAGGACTTGCCGATCAGAAGGTCGGCGGTTCGTATCCCAGTGATGACGTGAGCTCCCATTGCTCGGTGCCTGCTCCTGCCAACCTAGCAGTTCGAAAGCACGATGTGCAAGTAGATAAATAGGTACAGCTCCGGTGGGAAGGTAAACAATGTTTCCTTGCGCTGCTCTGGTTCGCCAGAAGCAGCTTAGTCATGCTGGCCACATGACCTGGAAGCTGTACGCCGGCTCCCTCAGCCAATAAAGCGAGATGAGCACCGCAACCCCAGAGTTGTCCGTGACTGGACCTAATGGTCAGGGGTCCCTTTACCTTTACTATGCACTCAGTGCATTTCCAGTGCTGGGTTTTTAACCTGTGGTCACTTGATGTTATCCAAAATGTGCCCTATACTAAAAGTGAAAATCTGGACACAAAAGCTCCCCCCCCCCCGGAAGAATCTAAAAAAAAAAAAGACATTTCAAGTGACTGCCGAAAATTCCGCCCAGACACCATTTTTGACGGGGAAATCCCAGCTATGTCTGGGAAATTTTAGAGCACAGCAAAGTTGTTTCTCCCCACTTCCCAGCCAGAATGTTTCACAGCGCTTTGCCCCCAAACTATTCCCATCAGCCTGGCTCCATTGGATTTGTTTCTGTTTGAGTAGACATCCAAGAGTGTCGACCAGGTTGAAGATGTTTGTGCAAAGATTTTCACATCTTGACTAGAGATGAATTAGGAATGGCTTAACACAGCTTTAATCTGCTGGTCTTTCCATCCTCAACATTCTTTGCTGCCTCTTAATATTCACATAGGATAGTACCAAGCAATAATATGGCTCACGTGAATAAAGTAGGGAAATTTTCTTTATGGAAGACCTGATGGAACCTAAAATCAGGACTATAAATAGAGGAGCGTCCTAACTTAGCTAACACTTCACCGCAGGGTGAGGAATGTTAATGCCACGGCCAAATACTTATCCCGACTTACCTTTCCTTGTTATAACAATGAACCACTGCAGGGTTGTTGTATCTCACCCCAACCTGCAATGTGGGAATAAAACCAATGGAAAAATAATGCATTCTGGCTGTAAACTACACACTCAGCTATATTCAAAACTGTGATAGTGGTCCAACATTGCAAGTTTGTTATAAGTGACTTAGAGCCTGACCTGGAGTATTCAGTGTACAATACTCCCAGCCAGAGTTCCTTTCAACCTGCAATATGGGACAATGGGCTACATTTACTATGTAATTTGCATGGGGGGGGAGGTAGAGTTCTTTCTCAACATTACTACTTTTGGGTAGGGGTGGGAAAGGGGTGGGTGATGCCCAGTGCCAGCTACATTAATTTTTATTTATTTATTCATTGTTTTCTATATGTATCTCTCAGTTCTGTTTGTTGGAACGTTAAAAAATGGCTTTGCAGGGCGCTTCCAGACTGGTGCTATTTTGGAGTGGGTTTTAAGCACATATGGACTAATTCAGGTTGGAGCTTTATAGCTGATGGAGAGGTCTTGTGCAACAAACCCACTTCTTTAATAAGGAAAGTGATGGGGAATTGCACTGGAACACACAGGACAGCACTTGTTTGGTGAAAGGTCAAGGTTTAGGTTGTTTAACATCCCTAGAAACACATCAGAATGAAAGCTCATTAAATAACCAATGTCGTCGTTATCTAGTCTCCCTGGAAATACACCAGGATAAATATATAAAACTGCATCCCTGTTTTAGCCACTCCATTTTCTACAAATTTTTTTTGGATACAGAGATCCCAAAAGTGCCCCTGTTCATATACAGAGTTTTTTCCACCATGGTATCCAGTTTATGGAGTAAGAACCCCAAAGAGTTACAGTTGACCCCTCATTGCCTTGCAATAAAAGCGTTTCAAAACCAAGGCATGCCTTCCCATAGAAAGTAATGCAAAATGGATTAATCTGTTCCAGACTTTTAAAAACAACCCCTAAAACAGCAATTTAACAAGAATTTTACTATCTAACGAGACCATTGATCCATAAAATGAAAGCAATGAACAATGTACTGCAGTCGCACAATCAATCAGTAGCTGAACTGGGTTGCACACAGTCACAAAAACAAAACAAAAAAGAGCTGCAAAAACAGAACCGCAAAATAAATAGCAAAAGCAGACAGACCTCAGCATAACACTCAAAACGGAAGTGTGGCACTCAAAATGGAAGCGTAACACTCAAAACAGAGCATGTTTGGCTTCCGAAAAAAAGTTCGCAAACCGGAACACTTAGTTCCGGGTTTGCAGTGTTTGGGTTCCAAGTTGTTTGAGTACCAAGGTATTTGAGAACCAAGGTACCCCTGTATATTATTTCAACTCTTTTAAAGGTTTATTTTCCTCTGATTATAATTTTTGCTCTTCTGCTTTTGCTAAATTTTATGGTATTGTGTTTGATGGTATTGTATTAACTACCCCTGCTTTATATTGTTATATTGTTGTGTAAGCCACACAGAGTGGGCATTTTGCCTAGAAAGGTAGGGTGTAAATATATATGCCCCAGCTCCAGCTTTTCTCTCACCTGACACCTCTAAGTAAACATGCATAGAATTGCACTATACATTATTTAACCTCCTAATTGTGTTTATGATGGGCAGGCCCCCCCCCCCAGCTGGAACTCACCACAACTCAGTTCCGGCATTTCTCAGGTGCCATTGCCATTATAAGAGAACAAGGAAGGTGTTCGTGGTGAGTTCCAGCACCTCGTTTTTCTAGAAAAACAGCACTGACGACAGAGTAGTTCAAGGGTGTTAAGGTGTCACTGATCCATCTTTAGCAACCTTGACAAATGAAAAAGCAGCGGGAGGAGTGATTTCCTTTTCTCCTTTTGAACATTCCCTGCTGCTTCACCTGACTATGTCACACTTTTCTTCCTCTGAACAGATTACTGGTGTTTAGAAGACCTATATCGGGAACTTGTAAAACGTTATGTGGATGCTATTGACAAACTTCCTGGGAGACGGTCAGATCCTGCTACTATTGAAGGCTGCTCCCAACTGAAGCCAGACAACTATCTCCTGGCTTGGCACACACCATTTAATGAGAAAGGTAAGGTGGTGGTTTTTCTGAGTTGAAACTGATCCTACATCATTGTACATTAAAGTAACCTACAGTGGATTGGTAAGGAATAATAAAGCCAGGGCCAGCTCAATATATTTTGCTGCCTGAGGCAAAGGACAAGGTGGCAGCCCCCCTCACCAAATGCATACACAGAAGCCAATCTGACTGGTAGAATCATAGAATTGTAGATTCTATGACAGATGGCCACCCAACCTCTGCTTAAAAATCCTACTCCAGTACAGTGGTACCTCGGGTTAAGTACTTAATTTGTTCCGGAGGTCCGTTCTTAACCTGAAACTGTTCTTAACCTGAAGCACCACTTTAGCTAATGGGGCCTCCCACTGCCACCACGCTGCCGGAGCACGATTTCTGTTCTCATCCTGAAGCAAAGTTCTTAACCCGAGGTACTATTTCTGGGTTAGTGGAGTCTGTAACCTGAAGCGTATGTAACCTGAAGCATATGTAACCCGAGGTACCACTGTACTACACTTGAGGGCAGCAGGCTAGGGGTGCCACTGAATTCAGTGGGTTTACTTCTAAGTGTAGGATTGCACTGTTAGGCTGCGAGTTCATGGACACTAACCTGATAGGAAGCCCCATTGCACAAATGAGGGCTTACTTCTGAGTAAACATGAATTTGATTGCATTATTTTTGCAGTCTGAAGAGTTTCTCATTTTGCTGCTATCTCAGCGCTAACTGATTTAAATCAGTTTTCATTACGTAGTTTTTTTACATAGCACCAAAGAAGTACTGTTGGTTCTGCAGGCAACCACAGCTTCTTACATAGAAAGCTGCCTTATACTTAAGTCGCATTATAGGTCCATCTGGCTCAGTGTTATCTACAGTTTATGAACAGTGACTCTCCTGGATTTAAGACAGGATTGTCTCTCATCCCTTCCTGCAGATGCTGGGGACTGAACCTGGAACCTTCTGCATTTGCAAAACAGATATTCTACGATCCTCCCCCTACATTCTCATTTAATCTACTTCTGACAATAATGCCTCGCTCAGTAATGAAGTATATAATTATTTTGATTCTTTATATGCTTTATAAGTTGCCTATAGTTACATGTGTTGATGAGTAAGGGCAGGTTTCTTCCTTGTATGGGCACTATGACCACGTGGGGAAAGATTGTACTCATTGTATAGTTTTTCAGCAATTCCATATTTTCCTGGGATGCGAAAAGCAAGCTGCCAGGAATTCCTTTTGTAGGGCACTGCGTCCTTTTGTAAGTTATCTCTGTCCAGTTTAAATGTCTATTTAAAGAGTCTTTGTTCTTGGCACGATGCCTTCTGGTCCAGATTTTTTTGTTCTGGAATTTGTGTTTCTTTTCAGGAATACAATCTGTCGTGGATCCTTTTAAGGGTCTGCACTAACCTGGACATTTTGTCCATGTAAAGCAGGCGTCAGCAAACTTTTTCAGCAGTGGGATGGTCCACTGTCCCTCGGACCTTGTGAGGGGCCAGACTATATTGGGGGGGGGGGGAATGAACGAATTCCTATGCCCCACAAATAACCCAGAGATGCATTTTAAATAAAAGGACACATTCTACTCATGTAAAAACATGCTGGATTCCTGGACCATCCACGGTCTGGATTGAGAAGGCGATTGGGCCGCATCCGGCCCCCGGACCTTAGTTTGCCTACCCATGATGTAAAGTAATCTATTTAAACCGAATTGCCCAGGGAGCAAAACGAGGCATATGTGATGCATCTCACAGTATGTGCCGAGACGCAACTTCACTGTGGTAGTTATTGTATTATTCAGGCTTCAAATGCAACATATACATTCTGCAGAGAGATCACTTTCCAGTCTTTAGTACTAACCATTTAGACGAGGCATTGTACGCCTTCTTCACTGGCTGCACACGGCCTCACAAGGAAAGTGCAGATTCCAGACCCAGCACGGTGTTGATGTGACACTATATCACTGGAATATAGAACCACTCAACACCAGCATCATATATTGATGCAACATCATGGCATAAACATTGTAATGCAATACGATGATTATTTTTGTCTCTCTGCAATCAACCTCGTTTGACAGTGCTGCTGCCTCTCTCCCCACTATGTCCTTCTCATGGCAATTGCTGGAAGAAAAAAGAAAAATACCTGGCAGTTTTAGCTCACTTTTCCCCCTCTGGCCCCGTTCCATGAATGAATAGCAGTTTGGTAGTGAAGCAGTTACAAGCATGCTGCTCTCATTCATGCATAGATTGAATAGAAACCTTAGAAAGTGTTTTGAGAAGGTCTGTGTATCTCTCAAAGCAAAATCACAATAGCTATTTGAGATTCCACGTAGGATCTATATAAGGTGAGCACAACTAAACCCATATAAGCCAGTCTTCTGGAATTGCTTTCTTAAATGATGTATATGAAGTCATGTGAAGTGAGAAATGGCTATATTCATAGCCACTAGAATGCTAGCAGACATTCGGTTGGTAATTTCTATTTCTATAAAGCATGGACTATGGGAGACTTGGGTTTAGAGGCTTTGTCCCTTAAAAAGTCAGCCTCTGCCCCCCCCTCTCTTTCCAGCTTCATGTTGTAATTACCACATATATAAGTGGGTGGGGGCAACAGCCAGACACCTTTTGTGTAGCCCCAGGCTTAAATACGATACGATACGATATGATAATAAAACAAAACAAGCTAAAAATATAGAAAAGAGTATTGTTAAAATGTAATTAAAGGTTACATTGGCTAGGGGATATTATAACAACAACAACAACCTTTTTACCCAGTCCCTGCCTATCCCTTGTGAGGTGACAACAGACTATGAGGCTCTAACAGCTTAATCTTATTCATAGCTTAACATGCACCAAGCCATTCAGTCGGGTGTGAAGCATTAAACTAATAAGCAAATACCAGGACTAAGTTCCACTACTAGGGTTGAAGCACGTTCCTGTGCCTGACAAGCTGGACACAGCACAGTTGGCACCCCAAACTCCTAAAAACGGCTGGCAGCCACGGTTTCTATGGAGAAAAAGGCCTCATAGGCCTAGTGCTGAATTTTGAAAAGGGTCAGGGTTTCAGGTTATCCTGCAACCTTATTCTCCGGCCTGGAAACCTTGTCTCTGTATCTCTGGTATGGAAATGAACTCTGCTACTTGTTTTCTTTATGTATAACAATGAGTGGCTATTTACCCCTGTATGAACTTAGGTTGATGACACTTGAGTTGTCATCAGAGGCCTTGCTTCAGACGCCTGCCCTTTTGAGATACTGAGAGTGGTGATGGGAGACAGTCAGGGCCTCTTCTGTCATGGTCCTGGGTCTTTGGAAAATCCTCCTCAAAGACGGCTGCTTATCTTGCAACTTTATATGATGGAAGCTATATTGTGTTAAGAGGCGGCCTACATGAGTATTTGGATTTTGGGGAATTTTTGTATGGTGTTGCTTATTGTTGATGCTTTATATTGTTGTTGTTTAATCTGCTGTTTATTAATTGATGTTTTTTGATTGGGGACTCAGCTATATGGCTGCAAATGTAATGTTTTAAGTGCATTATACAAATGTGACACTAGATGGCTCTAGTGAGCTAATGGCAAATTCCACATACTGTATATTTTTAAACTTTTTTTTAAAGCACTTTCACAGCATTTTGAAAATATATGTGTGTAGATTCAGCCTGGCTTTTATGTCTTTATTATTGTTTTAATTTATATTTCCACATTCCTGCCCTTTAAACACCTCCAAGGTGGCTTGCAAAAGGTCATCTAACAATATCAAGATAAAACTCACTTCAATTAATGTAGTAATAATAATAATAATAATAATAATAATAATAGTCCGGGTAGCAATACAGCTGGATAATGGAGGGATGTGATTGCCTTCCCTGCTGCAGCCTAAGCAATGAGCGTTGGTGCTTGGGGAGAGGGAAGTCGCTGCTAGGAGCTGTTTCTAGGCTTGGTGTAAAAGTTGTTGCTTTCCTTCTCTCTGAGATCCCAAATCAGCAACCTCCAGCTTTTAGGATTTTTAGGATTCTTTCAAAATATTGTAAGTTACTTCAATGGAATATGGGAAATAATAATAATAATAATAATAATAATAATAATAATAATAATAATAATTTATTTATACCCCACCCTTCCCAGCCAAGACCGGGCTCAGGGCGGCTAACAAGCAATAATAAAAACAAGTTAAATGAATACAACTTAAAAACAAGATTAAAATACAACATTAAAATATTGAAACATTAAAATATTAAAATGCAGCCTCATCACAGGAGGAGAAAGGAAAAAGAAAAAGAAAAAAGAAAGAGAGGGAGGGAGGGAATCAAATTGGCTCCAAGCCAAAGGCCAGGCGGAACAACTCTGTCTTACAGGCCCTGCGGAAAGAAATCAGATCCTGCAGGGCCCTGGTCTCATGAGGCAGAGCGTTCCACCAGGCCGGAGCCAGAGTTGAAAAGGCCCTGGCTCTGGTTGAAGCTAATCTAACTTCCTTAGGGCCTGGGACCACTAGGGTGCTGTTATTTATGGACCTTGAGGCTCTCCATGGGGCATACTGGGAGACAAACAAAAATGCACTCAAAATATATTACATATATAACAATCCAGCGAAAGTGAATGTTTTATTGAATTGATTTCATTAGGAAATTCAGCAAGGGAGAACACTGAACATGTCTACTGAGAAGCAAGTCCCACCAAGTTTGATGGGACTTACTCCCAAATAAGTGGGGTACAGAAAGATATAGTCACACACAGGCTTATGCAAAGCAGGGTGGGGCAGCTAGGTACATTCGCCCTGGGCCTTGGAGGGCTTGGCTGGCCGGGGGGCAGGGCACAGGTTGGCCTGCCAAGGGACCACCTGCTTTTTTTGTTTGAGTTTATAACTTTATTCTAACAAGACTCCCAACTAGGGCCTCAGACAAGCTCTGCACGGGCCTGGTCACAGCCTTAGCTCTCATGTTAACATCAAGAGGACTTAAAAGGTGTTTCATTTTGGATTACCACACCCTATATATGTATGTATACAGAATTATAATTACTATCTTCCTCCCAGCTTAGCGATGAGCCACCTGTTGCCCCCCACAAGGGCCGTGCAGAGCTTCTCTCAGGTCCAGGGTGGCTGGGAGGTATGGGGCATTCTTGACATGACAGTTTAAGTCTGGCGTGCCCCTGGTGGGGGTCCCCTGGTCAGCATAGCCCCCTGAGGGCTAGGGCAAGTGTACCTGTCTTCCCCCATCCCTCTTCATGGGCCTGCCTCCCTCCTTCAGAGTTCTCGGACTCCAACTACCAACTTCCCAGCAGCCTTCTGGCTCCCACACCACTTCAAAATTCACTAACATCATCAGCTACAATCAAACGTGATTCAAATTATCGTTCATGACTCATTTGCCTTTTTGTTGCTGTTGACAATAGGTTCAGGATTTGGAGCCGCTACAAAGGCCATGTGCTTAGGGATGAAATACTGGAAGCCTGACAGGCTGGAAACTCTCATCGAAGTGAGCATTGAAGTTGGAAGAATGACTCATAACCACCCTACAGGTAATGTCTAGGCAAAGCAACCTGTTTTGGTTAGGATGTACCGGTATTGACTCTGGGTTGCCCTGCCCCTTGCAAGACTGGCACTCCTGCCAAAGCTCTGGTTGATCTGTGTGTGTGGCTTGAGGTCTGTTAACAGCATTTGAAAGCAATTGAAAAAAAATGCAAGTAGCACAGAACACAGTCGCCAGGTTGTTGACAGAGACGGGGCAATCTCAACATAAAACACCAGTCATGGTGAGCTCCCGTTGCTCTGTCCCAGTTCCTGCCAACCTAGCAGTTCAAAAGCATGCCAGTGCAAGTAGATAAATAGGTACCACTGAGGCATGAAGGTAAATGGTGTTTCTGTCTGCTCTGGCACTCGTCACGGTGTTCCATTGTGCCAGTAGCATTTTAGTCATGCTGGCCACATGTCCTGGAAAGCTGTCTGTGGACAAATACCAGCTCCCTCGGCGAGATGAGTGCCACAACCCCATAGTCGCACTTGACTGGACTCAGCCAGCCAGGGGTCCTTTACCTTTTACCTTTTTACCTTACCTGCACTAATTGCCAATTTGTTTCCAAGTCAAATTCAAAGTACTGGTTTTGACTTTTCAAAGTATTGCATGGATTGGGAGCCCAGTACCTCGAGGACGACCTTTCCCCATATGAATCTACCTCGATTTGAAGAAGGGAATCTCTGTATGTTCCCTGCAAAGATGTTCAGAGGGTGGCAATAGGAAAACAGATGTTTTCTGTGGTAGTCCTATGCTTATGGGACACTCTCCTCTTGAAAGCTTGTCTGCTGCTAACATTGTCATCTTTTCAGCACCAGGAGATGATGTATTTATTTTTCTGGCATTTACCCAACAATAACAGTCTGGCTTTTAGCAGCTATTTCTTTTGGGACCATTCTTGGGTGGTATGGTTGCTTGCAAGTGATTATTGTAGGTGAACACATTTAGTATGTTGGATTGTTTTAAATGGACATGTCTCTTCTAGCTTTTTCTTTCTTTTGCAAGTTGCTTCAAGACTTCTTTGATGGTGGGAAACAACACATAAATTCAATAAACTAAATTGTATTCAATAAACTACACTTACCCTATGTTCTCCTCATAATGCAGGGGTGGAGAGACACTTGCAGGGGAAAGCTGGTGGGAGGTGTTTAACCCTTCCCTGCCCTTCAGTTTCCCCTTGCAAATGGCCCTGTGTAGTTTTTAATAGTTCCCTGTCCCCATCTGGGCTCCTAAACTGGAAGGAAGCCCAGTCAAGGGGGTGGGTGGATTGCAGTACCATTTGGACAGAGGAAACCTAATATAGTGTTCAAGTATGAAACAGGAAAGAAATGTGTGTACACACACAACAAATTTAACGTGTTCACCTATAAGCTCCTATTGTTTCAGTGGGCATAACTCTCAAATTAGCATACATAGGCCTGTAGCAAACTTAAGGTGCTTTTTGCTCAGTGCAGTTGTGGCTGGAGCTTCGCCTGCATAAGTGCTTGGGGGCTCTTTCTTGCAAGGATTCTGCAGTGTGCCATATCACAATTGCAATATGTCAGATTCAAGTTCTGCACTAAAAGCACCCCCCCAACTGCAATTCTTGATGCATGAAGATAGGAATAGGGGTGGGAGCACTGGAGGAAAAAAGGGGGAGGAGGAAAGACAAGAAAAGTGCTAATGGGATGGCTGGACCAATAGGAAGACGAAGGAGCAGGTTGGAGAACCACTGGCAGTAAAGACAAGCCTTAGCTTGACTATATCTCCCACTTCTGAGATCTGGGGGGGATGAGGAAATGTTGTTTCTCCCACCCACCCAGCCAGCCAGCCACACTCATTTATGACTCTTCCTCTTTCTCTATCCACTAGCCTGGTAAGTGGAACAGCAGTGGTCTGGATTCTGAGAGCCATTGCTTGGGGCACACATCTGTTCTGCAGCTTCACCTGCCACCAGTCTGGGGGGGGAAACAATGCAATATGCCCACCATCAGAATTGCAAAATTACTGTAGGTCAGTAGAAGCAATAACCAGAAACAGTTGCATTCTGAGACCAGGTTAGGCTGTAGTCCAGTCTGACATGAAAACAGTGACACCATGCAAAACCACTGGTTAATCAGAGCAAGAAACTGTTATGGTTAAACTTCTGCTCAATCTGTTTTAGGTCTGTTCATACTGAGTTCAGCGGAATGACATGCAACATATTATGAATTCCTTTTAATTTTCAGCAGTTCGTTTTCATGATTTTCATTTTTGGTAGCTCTAAGGGCCATAAAAGCAGTTGTTTTAAACCTATGCACCATTCTAATGTTATCCTCATTAAGATCAATTGGACATAGACATGTAAAAGAAGTCATCACCCTGGAATGTTAATCTCAGCCAACAATCATCACATATCAGATGGCTCCCTCCTAAGTAGAGACACAAGTTGTAAGTCATACGTATTTGCTGAAGTATTCCATTATGCCAGTTCTCCCCAATCTAGTTTCATTACTTTAAATGATAAATGCTCACACAGTCTTGCTTGTTTTCTAGGTTTTAAAATGGCAAAATAAAGTTGCAGACTATGTGACTTTTAAGTGTTTGGAACACTGCATGAAGGATCTGTATTGAATGCTAAGAATGACAGTGATTAATTGTCACCTTATTTATTTTTTTAAACTCATGCGCTTTTATTGGCAGTTTAGCTCTCAGGAATAGAGTAGCTGAAGCATTTCCTCCAGTGGAGATTAAATGGTGGAAAAAAGGCTCACATGGTTTCTGTGTTATAAAGGCACAGTATCTTGACATGATACATCACTAAAATAACAGGCACATTGTAATTAACACAACAGCCAAACCGCTCATTCTTTGGAGGACATCAATGCCATAATTGAAAAGAAAAAGTAATTGTCTGTAACAGTGCCCCCAGCACCTGACCAACATTTTATAGGGGAAACCTCCAACTAAAAATCCCCATTTAAAATAAGCAAATAGAAAAGAACCTACCCAAGTGAGGCTGGCACAAACCTCCACACATACACTACGTAAAAGAACCAGGCAGAGGGCCTTCTCGGTAGTGGCGCCCTCTCTGGAACGCCTCTCTGTGGTCAGGGGTTGAAAGTAGTGATGAAGGCTACAATCCTAACTCCACTTGACCTAAGAATAAACCCTTCTGGGTTCAACAGGACTTCTGAGTAGTCATTGCACCAGTCAGTTATATACACATACAGTAATGCTATTTGAAGTTCAATACCTGTTTTATAGGGAACAAAAAAATATTCCCAAAGAAAGGCATATAGCTTGAAATGTGTGCATGCTGTCTTTCTTTGAGCTTAATAAACACAGTTTCTTATGCATCTGTACGCTGATTTCTCCTCCTTTTTGTTGCTACTTGGTGCCATCGTCATCACCATTTTTCTATGCTCCTTTCAGGGTTTTTAGGATCACTGTGCACAGCTCTGTTTGTTTCATATGCAATACAAGGAAAGCCACTGGTGCAGTGGGGAAGAGAAATGATGAAGGTTGTCCCAATGGCTGAAGAATACTGCAAGAAGACGATTCGGCACATGGCAGGTAACATTGCACAATAAAAGGTAAAGGTAAAGGTACCCCTGCCCGTACGGGCCAGTCTTGACAGACTCTAGGGTTGTGCGCTCATCTCACTCTAAAGGCCTGGAGCCAGCGCTGTCCGCAGACACTTCCGGGTCACGTGGCCAGCGTGACGAAGCTGCTCTGGCGAGCCAGAGCCGCACACGGAAACGCCGTTTACCTTCCCGCTAGTAAGCAGTCCCTATTTATCTACTTGCACCCGGGGGTGCTTTTGAACTGCTAGGTTGGCAGGCGCTGGGACCAAGCAACGGGAGCGCACCCTGCCGCGGGAATTCAAACCGCCGACCATGCGATCAGCAAGTCCTAGGCGCTGAGGTTTAACCCACAGCGCCACCCGCGTCCCAATAAAGGTGTTTGTATTTGTCAATTTGCTACCTGTGATGCAGGCGATTACTGACAAATAATAGTGTTCTTTCTCAGAAGTTCTCTGGCTTTTAGCTAAAGTTCTCCTCCTCCTCCTCCTCCTCCTCCTCCTCCTCCTTCTTCTCCTCCTCCTCCTCCTCCTCCTCCTGACTAGACCAGGTGCAGGATTAAGTTGTATAGGTCTGGTCTGCTTTTGACAGAAGGATGCTGTCACTCTTCTTGCACAATTCCAACCCTGAGTAAAATATGCAAGACTCCTAAAGCATGCATCTGTCATTATGGAGTGAAGTGCAATGCTATTTTAGAAATAAATAAAGGGGACGACATTTTAAAAACCCTGCCTGAAACAACTGTGAGCCCCTTTTCTCAAGGGATCTCTCCTTTTGAATTATTCAGTCAATTTCTTTTGTTTTTCTTTTCTTAAAAAAAGCACATTTGTTTTATGTTCCCTGTTCTGCATATTCTCACTCTGTAGTTCTCAGAGGCAGCTTTACTGCTAGGTAGCTTCAAGTGATCACCTGTGGTAGCACTTAGTATAGACAGATGTTTGCAATATGCTGCAGAAGATGCTGCCTAGTACTTCTTTGACAAAAGTCTGACTTCTGCTCAGGGACAGCATAGTGCAAAGGGTTTCAGGACTGTAAAGAAGAAAGGAAGGGTAATGAAGCAAGGGAAAGATGGGGAAGAAAACCATATATCTAAGGCTAGTAACAAGCATCTCTCAAGTGCCTTTGGGGGGAACTCCAATAGCAGAAAGCTGAGCAATGTGACTGTGAGGGAACAGGTGTTGGGAGTGAAGATCCTGACAGAGAAATAGTCAGGTAGGTGGATGAAAATGACTGGCAGGTCAAGGATTTGCAGGATCAGCTGTGATACAGAATGTGCGACATCAGAGTTTCACCTACTTAAAAGACCGAAGGTATCCCTGGCTCCCTCCGGATTGCAACAAGAGATAAAGTCACTTTTCAGTCAGCAGGGATCAGGAAACTATTTGAAGGGGGATAAGAAAATTATGTTTTTGTTCCTGTCTTCAAAGTGCAAGTGGTACACATACTGAGAAAATGAGCATAGCCTGCCTTTCTTAAACTGAAGCAACTTCACAAATGACTTTTTCATAATCAGCAGCAATCTCGTGTTTAGAAAAAAAAAGTTTTCCTCCAGACCAGCCTTTCTCAACCTTGAGTCTCCAGATTTTTTGGGACTACAGCTCCCAACTTCCCTGTCCACTGGTCCTACTAGCTTAAGGATGATGGGAGTTGTATTCCAACAACATATGAGGACCAAAGGTTGAGAACAGCTGCTCTAGACTCAATATATAAACTGTGCTGCAAATGTTTGTTTTGCTACAGGTACAGTGGTGGTGGAAACAAAGCTACGGCAATGGACGCTGCAGAAGTGGCAGGGATATTGCTTCCAGTAGGAAAATGTTGCATGTGAAGCACCATCAGTTTACAAAGTGCATCCTCTCCACTTTTAAGCAGTAGACCTTTTGGGCGCAGACTCAGAAAAAGCTGCCCTTGTACAAATGGGTAGAGATGCCCATCTTAGTTTATTTGCAGAGGCTGCCTTCTGAAGATCATACTGCAAAAAAAAAAAAAAAAGGTGTTACTGCCAGCTGCCTTATCAGGTAGCATACAGCCTGCACTCAAAATAGCTCCTGTTGAGACTTGGGAGGGCTTCTTATGCTTTTGCTCAGTATTCAGGACTCAGTAGTAATTGCTGAATGGACTCCAGTAAAAGTTTGTTTGTACAGTATGTTTAATAGACACTGTGATCTACATTCTGGTTTTCCAAAATGTGTATTTGGTGGCCCTAATAGTTGGACAGGTTTTATTTAATTTTCTTCATGAGAGTTCTGTAAATTGGATTTTGTCATTCATGCTGTTGCACTGAAAGAACCTATTCAAGATTAAATGTACCATAATTAATTTGTTTTTCATTCAGAATATCAGGAGCATTGGTTTTACTTTGAAGCAAAATGGCAATTTTACTTGGAGGAGAGAGAAATCAATGAAGACAACCAGAATAAACCCAACTTTCCTGACAATTATGATGCTGAGGAAAGAGAAAAGGTAAACTCTTCAACCAAAAATTCTGAATTGGGGACAAATATGTACTGATACTTTCCCATCTGAAAGTGGGTCCTATTTTCTTTAATTTAGAAACAATTGCAACCAAGTACCATAAAATGGTAGGGACGCGGGTGGCGCTGTGGGTTAAACCACAGAGCCTAGGACTTGCCGATCAGAAGGTCGGCGGTTCGAATTCCCGCGACGGGGTGAGCTCCCGTTGCTCGGTCCCTGCTCCTGCCAACCTAGCAGTTCGAAAGCACGTCAAACCTAGATAAATAGGTACCACTCCAGTGGGAAGGTAAACAGCGTTTCCGTGCACTGCTCTGGTTTGCCAGAAGCAGCTTAGTCATGCTGGCCACATGCCGGCTCCCTCGGCCAATAAAGCAAGATGAGCGCTGCAATCCCAGAGTCAGTTACAACTGGACCTAATGGTCAGGGGTCCCTTTACCTTTACCTTACCATAAATTGGTAGTAGTATAAGTTAACTGAATGACTCAAGCCTACAGGACAAATATTAGATTGGTGCTAGGTTAGTGTAGGGGTGGGCTTCTAGATATGATTGCAATCCAATTCCCATCAGCCCCATTATAGACATTGGCCAGGGATGATGGAAGTCGGGATCCAGCAGCTCTTGAAGTTGCTCAATCAACTTCATATTCCATGTGAGAAGGGGAATAGGAGATCCAAGGTCACACCATTGCAGCTGGAGGTGAAGGGAAGATCCAGCAGTGTAGCTTAAGGCGGTCATAATATTGGGTTCCAGATGTGGCAGCTAATGTGCAGATGGACTAGAATGACAAAAATTGCAGTTCAAAGCAGGAAAAAGATCAGGTTACAGAGGTAGAATGTGGGAAATGGTGGAAAGCAGACATTCTGGCAGTCTTCTCAACAGAAAAACAATATGCTTAGATTGGGGAGCAGAATTTAACAAAGCTGAGGTTTTATAGGGTCAGATGGAACTGAATTAGCTGCCCAGGTCACCAACCAGATGCTGAGGTTGGGTAGCAAGGACTGTCAACGTGCCTCTAGCAATCTAATTCTGCCTACCACTCTTTCCAGCAGACATTCTAAGTTGGTGGCACAAGAGGTAAGAAGATGTCGATGTCTGTTTGCTGGTGGCTCCAGTTATATATCTCAGGCACTCTATGAGAGCTGCAGTTTTTTCAGACCTGTGCGCTGCTGTGCTCTCTTAATTTTCTTAACTGAGATCTGATTCAAATGCTATGACTATCGTACTCCTGCATGACAATGACTCCACGGGCTGCCTGTGACATTTGAAACCCCCTCACCACCTGTCTCTTCTGGGTTGCATAGAAAGTCTTCATTACAATGCCAGTATTCTTTAATGCATTATTCCAGTGTACGAAGACTCTCCACGAGATCAGGTGACCTACCTCGTGAAATGGCTCTCTTGTCACTCACGCAAGCCCTTTCCTCACCAGTTACAATATGCACAATCCATTCTGTTACTTGGAGACTTGCCCCAAACAGATTGCACCCAAGTAAAAGGCAACAACACTTAAATAGGATGCAAATTTTGCCAAGAACATTATGGTAGTATCTACTTACATTTCAGCATTTCATGAAGTTGAAATACAGCAGAAGCTGCTGTTAGAAAAACTATTACTGTACTAAGAATTCCAGTATCATCACTGCATGTAGATGTGACAATTGCTTAGTGGTCAAGATGTTTGTTTGCTTCTTTACTTGGGGCACCACTTATAGTACATTAAGATCTTCTATGTGGCCTTTGCTGCTCATTCTGTGAAGGCTCCAGCTTTCAAAAAACGTTGGCTAACTGTGACCTTCTTCTGTAGAAATATACATGTATGCTCAGTATAATGTGATACCCATGCAGGAAACCACCATCTGTGCAATAAGGACCTTCAATCAGCAGATAGGACAAGTCCTGGTTAAAACTTTCTGGATCACACACTGTCTCTCTGTCTCTCTATTTTCTCCACCTCTTTACAGAAAGTGTTCAACGGTCAGTGAATGAAATAAAAAGGTTTGCCAAGAACAACAAAAACGGTAACATGCAGTTCCCTCTCTGAGGAAGCAAGCTTGTGGGATTCCACATTTTTATAGACTTAAGTGATAAACTGTAGGCAAGTTTTGAAAACGCATAGGCAGTGTTCCACATGCCATCAGGGTTATGTCAGAGAAGCAAATGACATCATCATCACCATCACCACCATCTTCATCATCATAATCTCAGATAAACTGATGGAGACAAACGGAATCCTTTTTTTGTGAAGGAACCCAAGAAAGATGAGCTGTCTAAGAGATTGCCTTAGTGTGGTTCCCCCAAAGCCAAGAAAGGCTGTTTCTGTCTTGTTTCAGATTAATTTTTTTTAAAGAAATATTTAATGTATGCTAAAGCAAGGCTTGACTACACACAGAAATAAGCAGTGAGCAAACGTAGCTCCAATATTTTTAAAAAGAAACGAAAAAGGGAGTATTTTAAAACCCAACCCGCAATTTACCTCATGTTTCTGTGCCATGCTATGAAAAGAAAAAGAAAAAAGGCAAAGTAAAAGAGTGGCATCTGTATATTCTGGGTTGCCTTGCCATCAAATTTACCCAACCAAACTCATTAATTATCCATTCAGACTTATAGGAGATGGAGTTCTGAAGGTCGTGGTGGAAGGAGAGGTCATGATGCTCCCATGATTGCATATGATGCTCTCTTAGGATGTGGTAGTGATTGGACCGAGCTCTGCAACCGGGCAGTGTTCCATGGCGGTGAGTAATCTAGTAGTTCCTTCATGTCGGTTCCTTGTAACCATAACAGCAAAATATATACGGCATACAGACCATTATAATTTTTGATTAGGGTCAGTTTGGCTACATTAGGTGACTCACTAATAAATATAGCTCTTTCCACTTACTACATCCATTGAAGTATCTAAAGTACTTCTTGTACTTTCCAACTAGTAATTATTGCAGTAATCTTGTGCTGGTTGGGAAAAGCTTCATTTCTTATTCCCATAAAGGAAGTGGCAATCCTACTATCAAAGAAAAGTTAAGCCACAGGAATTGTGAGGTGTTTTTTTTAATCTACGAAAGCTTATATGGTCTACACTTATGTTTCACAACTAGTTTTACAGCAGGGGTGTTTCAAGAAGGAGATGATGGGCAAAGTTTGTTAAAGGCACTGGCCTTAACAAGCTGTCGTTCCCAGAATTCTTTAGGAGAAGTAATGACTGCTAAAGTAGCCTAAGAATACTTTAAAGGTATGATGTGATTGTGACATGAAAGACCAATTGTCAGCATGGCAATTGGACATGTCTTCTTTGGGCTGTTTCCACCTTAGAGTTGTTTCCCCCCAGTGACTTTTTAAAACGTTTCTGCCAACCTGATACTTGTCTCTTGTTGGTGCCAATTTGGACCAGCGCTCAGAGAACTGAGATTGCTCTTAATATATATGATATTATTTCACAGAGAAGCTAAAAGGGCATGCAACTGGGTTCTCGTTTCTGCTTTATTTCACAGGTGAGAGTGCAGCAACTGGAACTATTGCTGGCTGTTTGTATGGCTTGCTTTATGGTCTCAACAAGGTTCCTAAAGGCTTGTACCAGGATTTTGAACAGAGGGAGAAGCTAGAAAACTTGGGAGAGGCTCTCTTCCGACTGTCTTCAGAGGAAAAGTAAAGATGTTTTTGCCATTTCATTTTATTTTTAAAAAGATTATATTATACCCCGCAGCCAAATTCCTAAGAAGCAACTCTAAACAGATTTGTAACAATTCAGGAAAAGAATTGTGTGCCCCTAAGTCTCAGTGAAGTCACACTGTCTTTAACATGATGTTATTTTATTCATTTACTCTGAAGTACTCCCACTACTCCACAGATAGGAGTTTCTTGACCCGACATAAGGGCCAGTCCACACATTACATTTTTGGGTACATCTGAGATTTTTTAATGGAACCCTAAAAATGTAATGTATGAATGAGACAAGTGTTAGCAAATATAGGGACAGAATCAGCGGCAGCTAAGTGTACATTGGGTTGCAAATCTATATTTCCATGTAATGTGTGGAAAACTCCCAAACTATGCCAATATTGTTGCAGGCAGCATTATAAAATGCTGCACAGAGGTAGAATAGTAGAATTATACTATTAAATATTGTAAGCCACTCCAATAATTTATTTGAAGAAAAGGGTATAGTAAATAAAATAGATTAAGGGTATTTAAATTCTGTCAGTATTCAATACTTAAGAATGTCTTCTAACATTAATTAATATTAATCATACTACTTTAATTATATCACCTTGGCATTATAATTTTTTGGGGGATGAAGCAGTTTAAGAACCCATTTTTGTTATAAAATTCTGCATCACATCAAAATGTGACTTCATGTACACATATGCCAATAATATATATGTAAAACTAATGCTGTCTGCACACCTATTTAAGGCAAACTAATTTTATCACCCTTTGAAGGAAGCTTATCTGAGATTCAATTTTTCCGTCCATTTTTATGCACTCTTTCCGGTTTCCTCTCAACTCCGTAATATCGACGTTTCTGTGATATCACCTAACTGAAAAATCAATTAAATGTATATCCTTTTTCAGAACTATAGTGCCTAAATATTCTAGAAGTTATCTGAGATTTAGCAGGACACAAATATATATCACACACACACACACACACACACACACACACATATATGCAATGTAACAAAACACAACTCTACAACTATTCCTGGCTTCCTATATATTTTTGTGGTGATTCTCCCCCACCAAAAAAACCTTTACAAACTTTTTAATGATTTGGGTGGCTAAAATACTTGTAAATAAATTAATCTTATGCCTCTTCATAAGCATCATTCATTATTTTGACATTGTGTGCATTGCATGTTACTGTGTCATTGCTGGAATTCTTGCTTGCAGTTGTCACTAAGTCATTGTTGGTCAAGGTTACAGTGAGTTTCTTGGTGCTGAGAATCTCTTCTACTACGAAATCTAGAAAGTGTTGTTCTGGTGTAGAAAGATGTAGGATATATAGTGGCAGATAAAGAGTTTCAAAGTTAGTGGGTTGGATCCAGACTGAGGCTGCAATCTTACATACATTCAACTTGGAGTAAGTTCTGTTGATTTCAATGTGGTTTTCTTCTGAGTAAATATGGAGATGGCTGGTAGTTGTGGTATAAGTTAAGAGCATTTAGATTCTGTTAAAATCAATATAGAAAGTTAGTCATGACTAATTTAAGTCCTATTGATTTCCATTGGACTTAAAGTGTGACCAAGGTTGGCACTCAACTAAGTCTTACTCAGAGTAGACCCACTGAAATTAATGGGCCTCACTTAGTCATATTCATTAATTTCAACCGGTCTACCCGGAGTTGACTCTAGTTGAATACTACCTAAACAGTGCAAGTCTTACCATGTCTACTCAGAAGTAAGTCCTATTCAATTGGGCTTACAAGTTCCAGGTGAGTAGGATGGATTGCAGCCTAACCTAGTCTAGATACAACCAAGGCAGCAGATCCTTGGGTAGATTTTATCCCTCCGTTGCTCCTTTTTCACCCCTTCTTCCCTGGTGGTAAGAGGGATGCCATTTTGTGGTTTGCCTCAGGTGCCAAAATGTATTGGGCCGACCCTTTGTGTAAATTTTGACATATACTGCCATCTTCCACCTTAGTTCTTCACTGTGGTCAGGTCCTTCACTCTCTCCTGAAATTTTAAGGTGTTTTGGGTTTTTTTTTGTTTTCTTGCCAGTCAGAGGTTGACTCCCAAATGAAAATACACTGCTGGCCTCTTTCTTCTTCTCCCATGTTGAACGTACTCTCTTAAACAGTCACCTTGTGAGTTGTAACAGTAACCTTGTAACTATGAATAGTGACTGAGGCAGCCTACAAACAATCTCTGTATAATATGATCCAAATTATGGAGCTGCATTTGCTGTTTTATATTATTACCTTTGTTTCAAAGCAGTGCCTTGGGCAGTTTATTTTATTCGCCCCCAATCTATTTTAACTTTCTGAGTAAACCGCTTTGAAGTCTGATTGATTTCTGATATCAGCTTTGTGCCTCAGTCCCCTTTTACATTAAATAGGATGTACAGAGTGTTCCTATGTACTTTTACTAAGAAGTAGCCACCACAGTTCAGTGCGACTTTACTTCCTAGTAATCATGCATAGGATTGCATTCCTAACACATAACTTTAATTCTTTCCATAGAATACCTATTCCTAACTCTTTGTCAGCAGCTATACTTAGTTGCCCTAAGAGTATATGCAATTTGCTTTCATTTGTTGAAGCTGCTAAAGTGAAGAATATAGGTGCTGAAACATACAAACAGGTCATTCATGACAAGACACTGATTTAATTCTGGCCAGCAAAGGAAAAGGAATTTGCCATATCATTAGCAAATCTCTAATGTGATCTTTGGGTTCTTATGTTACCACAGCAGCATAGGAAAGAGTTTCCTCGCCGCTGAGGTAATACTTAAGTGGTTCCTATGGACTCTGACCCACAGTGTGAGTTCTTTGGTTAAGATTGAAATCTTCTGCCTCATGATATCAGAAGACAATTAAATGAGGCACTGGCCCACAATGCTGGTTTCAAGACCTCCTGAATATGCCTTTTGTGTGTGGGTATTGATGAAACAAGGATTTCATATGGGGGAGGGATTGGAGAGGGACTGAAGAAATGGGGAACAGATATTTCCCCTTCATTCCCGAAGCTAGATTTATAAATGCATCATAAAACTCTTGATGTATTCTTCCCATCTGAAGACTCCTACAATTTGAAAGGGCAATTTTTTAAAATCGTCGGGTATATTTAATATTCATCCTTGAATTCATACTACGGTAACAGGAAGAGAATCCAGTGAGTGACATGGCTTGAGATTAACACCGGTTCCAATAAATCCAGCCCTCGAATCAGTGACGTTATCCATTCTTTCATGTGTGCGTCAGGCATGGCCTTAGCAGAAGCTGCTTTTTATAAATAGTGTTGTATACATGTGTTGTCTTGCAATGGAGAAAACCCCAAAACACAGTGACATCTAGCCACTCATCCTTATCCTCATATGCTGCATATTGTTTGTTGTATTCAGTGCTGGCCAACTGTCAAAAGTTTTCATTGCTTTGTTGTCTTTTTTTCCCATTGTGACAATGGTAATTATAAGCAGAACCTGTGATGTTGAGCACAACTGTTTCATTCAGATGTTCTTGTGTGCAATGTTTACCTGTGAGAAAAGCTCTGAGGCCTAGATTTTGCCATCTTCATTTACAAGCAGAGGGGTGAGGGGCAGTCTGCCACTTCCATGTGGTACTGTTCTTCAGGAACATCTATATTTCTGGTTATTGTGAGGTATAAAAAAGTCACCATAACATGTGCTGTTAAAATGCAATGTTGTTGTATTTCTGTCTGAAGATCTATCTCTTCAAAAAGCAGTCTTTTGATTCTTGCTGTGAAATCTCTTTCTGCTCCTCCCTCCTTCAAACCTGAGCTGACATCCCTGTTGATAGGACATGACCATTAAAAGTACCTTTTTAAAAAAAACCACAAAGCAACAACAACTCTTCATAAAATGCCACAGCTTGTTGAGAAAGGAAAAAAATAAATAAATGGTTGACTCTCTTATAGTGATGTGGATGGCAGAATCTATCTGAATTTAGCAGCTTATGTTGCTTCTCGAAATCAGAAAAGCACCTTCATTGTATGGTCTGGGCATCTTACGTGGTAAGGATGAACTCCTGATCTGCTGGAATCAAAGCTGGCATTTGCCCTTGCATTCACCAGTGCCAGGATTTCATCCCAAGGCGATTTGTTGTCTTGCTTTTGCTTGTATATGAAGAGGTATAAAAACTTAATACTGTCCTGGTATGCAGACTGAATCCCATTCACATACTACTTTATTATTACGTGAATTAACCTTCCAAGTTTTTTTATGGTGCTAGAAAGTTGAAACCTCTGGTGCATTTTCCCCCCCTCCGGGCTATTGTCTATTACTGTTGACTTCACCATGTAGCTTTCACACTGAGTTCACTATTTTATTTAGTAACTGATCCTCACCAGTTAAGCCATTTCCTAAATCCTCAGCTGCCTGTAGGCCTAATTCTTCAAACCGAAGTAGGCTTATAACCATGCCAGACTTCTATCTCCACCCATGTTAATAAATGAAAGGATAGAGAGGTCAATTGATATTGTGTTGGATATCATGGCATACAATGCTTTTATCTCTGGCTTTCCTGGTTTCACTAGGATTCAGAAAAGGGATTTTAAGAGAACATTTCCCCGCATAATTGATGGGAAAGCAGATCAGATTTTCGCTTAGGACTAGATGGATTTTATTACACAGTGGAATGCTGCAAGCTTTCAAACTTTGCTAGCTCCCTGTAGAGAGAGAGCAGGCCAGGTTCCAAAGGGTTCTGTGCATTAAAAAGTAGGATTTGGACTTGCATTTCTCAAACAGTATCTTCATCACATCCTACTCTCAGATGACAAACTGCATTAGAAACTGAGGGTTTCAATAGCGGTTTCTAGTATGGCATGAGAGTCGGTTGAAATAAAATAAGTTTTTGTTTTTTTTAAACCCCACTGAATGAATGAACTATGTAATCTTTTGCTAGTATCCTGCTCCTCTCTGTTTTCTGCCCCTTTCAGAAATGCACAGGATTTTAAAAAAAATACAGACAGAACCTCACACTACATAGTGTCATGCTCTAGACATGACACATAGTCATATTTTGTTTTCTGGTACTTCAGCTGCATGTTAAGCCACTATGTCATTATTTGGGATGTGCCTGCAGAGGTGCGTCCCGTGTTTCAAAGAAAATAAAAAAACCCCACTCTGTGCTAATACTATGTATGCTTACTGTTCAGAACAGCCATTCCTGGAGAGGTATCAGAAATCATCTGTTAATAACAGTAATGGCTAAGACAACTGTTGTATATCATCTTCTGCACTGGATAAATGTGCCTGGCACATTAAGAGGAGTGCTGATGTAATTTTACTTCTAAAATTAATGCTCATTTTTTATTATGCATATATTATGGTTTTTCACTTTTTTAAAAAAACTGTTGATTTTATCTATATATTGATACATTTTATTATGTCTACCTGTTTTTAAGTTTACTTTTCTTGGTAATATGAGTATTTTATAGTGTGTGTGTTTTTAAGGAGGAGGACTGTAGTTCAGTGGTAGAGCACCTGTATTTAATGCAGAAGGTCTTAAGGTCAATCCCTGGCAACTCCAGATAGGGCTGAGAGACACCCTTGCCTAAAAATCTGAACAGCCATTTCCTGTCAGTGTTGACAGTCCTGAGCTAGATGGACTTATTGCCTGACTCAGGCAGGTTCCTGTGTAAAAATAAAAAATAAAGCGGTATATAATCTTGTTAAATAAATATAAGCACATTAAAACCAGTAAGGAAGTAAAAGCAATGTTGATGACTTTCCCTGGACAAAAACAACAACATTCGTTTTCTTTTATGCAGCAGAAGTAAAGGTACAAAGCTGGGCAGTGATAAGGTGCTGGTTGACCCCATAGTGCTGAAGAAGAAGCTCAGTAAGATGTCCACAGAACTAGGTGCATTTGCTGTCCTCAGCAGCCTTCTACTTTACCTCACAGACCTCCTATCCAGCCAACCCCAGGTCGAGAGCAAGAAGGCCAATTGGCTCGAAGGGATAGAGAACAAGGTGAACTTGAGGCGCGAGTGCCATAGCGCACATGGCGGCATTCGTCCCACCAAATTCCAGCTTCTGCAATCGAGGTTCATGAACAACAACCGCGAGGCCTACAGGAAAAGGTCGAGAGAGGTTGGCAAGCTGGTCGTTAAAGAAAAGCAGAACAGAAACGGGCTAAACTCCATTGTAAGCAAGCTGGACAAAAGCTCCTCAAAGGAAGGAGAAAGCCCAGAGATAACACCCCACGATAAAGTCAAATGGGTCTGCTCCACTGGGAAAAATACTGTGAAGAATATCCTGAAGAAATTCTTAGTTGCTGAGGAAAAAGAAGCTAAAGAAAGAGAAAAGCAGGTGGCTCCAAAAAAGAAGACACCAAACGATAACCTGCCCAAGATAATCAACAAAAACTCTGTCTTGTCCAAACTGAAAGAAAAGTTTGAACAAAGCAGTAATATCTGTTCAGCCATTGAGGTGAAATCTTTGCTGCCATGCAAAGGCGAGAGAAAGAGCAAAAAGGGCCCAGAGAGAAAAAAGATTCGCAAACCTGAAATAAGAGTGCTTGAAAGGAAACTGAGGACAACCACAATTGTCAATAGCCCTCAGCCTCAACAGCTGGTATGCACAACTGTCCCTACACCTAAATTCTGTGTTGCTACTGAAATTAGTCACCCTTGGAGTTGGGCTACAAATGCCAAATCTGCCACTAAGCCTTCTGAAGTGGGGAGGCCAAAAGACACCCAGAAAGCACCTGGCATTGGGTCTCATGACAGCAGGATACCAGAAAGCATGGCACATAAAGGGCAACTAGGAGGACAGTTGCAAAACAAGCATCATGAAATGCCTAAGGTAGTGGCTGACAAAAAGGACATTGTCGAGAGTAATGTAATTCCTACAAGCCCAGGTTCTAATCAAGACAGTGTTCTTCCTTCACGTGAAAATATGTCCCTTGTTGATTGCATTCCTCCTTTATCTAAGGACAGCTTAGATCACAAAGAGAACATCATACCGCCTGTGGATGACACCTTTTCCAGGTCCAGAGACAAAAATGCAGCAAAAATCATGAGCAGAGAAAACATACCTACTAACGACCTCCCTTCTAATCCAGCTGAAGGAGTTCATGCACATAGTCACCAGGAAATGAAAGAGGATGGGATTCCTGGCATACCAGAAGGCATGTTCAGGCCAAAGGAGACAGAAATAGAATTAGCAGAGCCTATAAAAGATCCCCCATTCACCAGCCAAAAATGTTTCTCTGAAAAGAAAGTGTTGGAAAATATTCCACCATTTCTCTCTCCTGTAGCTCAGGCATCTTGTAACAGAGAACCTCCAATAAAGGACCAGCAATCAAGTGTTGAACCTGCAGCTGTTCACAAAATGCCTCCGCTTAAGCCAAGTCAAGATAACGCACAAAGTTTGGGGAGCACGTTTTCTGACACGGTTCAGAACAAAGAAAAGCTGCCTGATAAAGAGGAACTACCGGTATTTCCTAGCTTTAACAAAAGCGACCATGCGGGTAAAGCAAAAAAGGAGGTGCTACAGCCATCAAGAAGCCAAGGTGAGCCATCTGATCATCAGGCAGAAAGGGAGCATTTGCCCAAGGAGCCACAAGCACATCCAAAGCTGAGCCAACAAAATAACCCTAGCTCAAACATATCAAAACAGACTATAGATCAATCACACCAAACTCCTACTTCAAATAGGAGCCAGAAAGACAACAATGATGTAAAAGGAAATGATTTTGAAAAAGAGCTTTGCCCTTTGACTGGCGATTTAGATAAATCCAGCTGCGTTAGAGCAGCAGAGAATACTAGCAAAGCCAAACTGCACTCAGATAATGAAAAGACAAATTCTGAAAACAAGAGCAAAAATAGTAGCTTGAGCCATTTGGATACCTCTCAGAGGCTGCCGGAAGAATTCATCAGCCACGAAACTGGCAATCTGGAAAATAATCCTGCACCTCCTTCTCAAAAATCTCACTCATCCTCACTGACCCACTCAGCAAATCCAGAAGGCGATACTCCTGAAGTCGACAGACCTTGGTGCAGTGTCAGAAACCTCCAAACCCCAACATCAAATGCAGTGAAAAAGAAAGAGAGCTGTATTGTAAGAGATAATGCAGCCAGTCCTAATTCTGAGAAACACCACCTCCCTTCTCCAGCTGAATTGCTGAAGCCCAAGGGGGCACCTGGGCAAGACAGCAAACCAACAACCAGCAATTTGTGCAATGATTTAATTAAGAGTGAAAACCATGCTGTAGAAGTTGAGGGTATGAGTCCCCAGACCAGGAAGTATCAACCACCCTCAACAAAGGAGACTAGAAAGCGTGAAATTAGTCCTGTAGGGGAGGCACGCCCCGCGCACAATGTGGAGAAGCAGCAGGTGCCCTTAGGAAACAAAGCTGGGAAGCAGGGAAGCAGGAAAGTGATGGCAGAAGTAAAGCCTGAGAAAAGCGGATTTCCCTCCCCAAATGAAACAGCAAAGGAGGGGAACAGTGAAGGAGGAGAAAGAAATCTACTGAAAGAAGTACAATGTCTAATTCCATCATCTGTTGACAGAAAGGAGCAAGATGACAAGGTAACAGAAGAGAAAAACTCTATAGTGGGAGGTAAGAAGTTGGTGCGTAACTCCAATATGCCCCAGAAATTAATAAAAAGTGACCTTGCAGAGGGTGGTGGTGAAAGAGCAGGATCCCGGCATCTGACCCCACCAAAGCATAAACCTAGCAGGCCGGGAGTGTTACATTCCCCAGGTAACTCAAAATGTCAAGCGCCATCAAGAGATCCAGAAAAAGATGGAACTGTTGCATCAAAAGATGAAAACGCTGCAAAACACCAGCTCTCCACACTCAAAGAACCAGTGAAATGTGATGATAATGCTAACCAAAGAAATGCCCAGGATAGCCTTAAGACTAAGAGTGACAAAATACCATTATCTGGCGAGAAAGTGAAACCAGAAAGCAAATCGGGGAAGACAAAAGAGAACACTAGGAATTCTGGGCAAAACCAGTTACCTTTGGAAAATGAACTTCCAAAGAGTAAAAAGGCTGAGCCAATGAAACCTGCAGCAGAGAAGTCACAGAATCCATCTTTAGGTGACTCTAGAAATGGACTTCCAAAGAGTAAAGAGACTACTGTAAGCAAATCGGGGAAGACAAAAGAGAACACTAGTCATTCTGGGCAAAACCAGTTACCTTTAGAAAATGAACTTCCAAAGAGTAAAAAGGCTGAGCCAATGAAACCTGGAGCAGAGAAGTCACAGAAACCATCTCTAGATGACTCTAGAAATGAACTTCCAAAGAGTAAAGAGACAACTGTAAGCAAATTGGGGAAGACAAAAGAGAACACTAGTCATTCTGGACAAAACCAGTTACCTTTGGAAAATGAACTTCCAAAGAATAAAAAGGCCGAGGCGATGAAACCTGCAACAGAGAAGTCACGGAAACCATCTTTAGATGACTCTAGAAATGAACTTCCAAAGAGTAAAGAGACTACTGTAAGGGAGAGAGGTACTTTGCGTAACCTTAAGGAACATCAGATACCAGCACCAAATGAATCAAAGACTGAGCCAGTAAATCTTGCAGCAGGGGAGCCGCAGAAACCATCCTTGAATGACTCTAGAAACCATGAGGATATTGCTAAGAATGAAAAACGGTCTTCATGGAATTCTAAGAACCAGCAGCTACCCTTATCAGATGTGAAACAGGAGAGCCATGAATATAGCGTCACAGCAGGGAAACAGCAGCAGCAACCACAACCACCAAAGGATTATGTCAAGCCTAAATCTAGTATAAGAGATGGAAAGCATACGCATCATAAATCTGAGAAGTATCGTCTTCCTGCCTCAGATGAACTGGGAGTGCATGAAAAGAACGCTAGTGAAAGGAAGGGTTCCTTGGCTCCACTTTCAAGTCACGATAGGACCACGCAAAAGAAGGAAACACTATGTGAGACTGATACTGGTCCCAAATTGGGCTCACCGAACAAGACATGTCCTGCAGAACAGAGAAAACCACAGCGTAGTCCTCCTGGCAAGTACCAAACTCTGTCAGCAAATGTGCTATCAGAGCAAGGAAGTGGGGAATCTCAAAAGCTCGGGGCTGGTGCAATAAGTCAGAAAGCTAGATCACTAGCCTTGGAAAAATACATAGCAGAAAGCTACAGTGAAGAACTAGTACCTTTGTCTATTAAACCAATGGTTGTTCGTGTGATTGATACAATTAAGCTTGATAACTAAATGCAGTTCAAATGACTGGAATATAGACCTGAATTTTTCATCCTCTGGCCACTGTGATGGCATTGAAATCACACTGAGTTGGCTGTCCATTGATCAGTTTTGGATTTTAGCGGTCATTAAAATTGGTGTCACCTGGAACCTCAAGTATATTACATGTCAACCCAGAATAATCAGAAGCCAATGATTCACGTATGGTAACTCTTAGATGTAATAACTATGGGAACAAAAGCCAGGTCAAGATATGTGGCAGAATAAAGTGGCCTCATGCCACCATAACACTTATTTATGTTAGAAATAAACAGATAAGCAGCACAGGAGGCAAAGACTAGGCTAGAACCTTTCTTCCAGATATGCTTAACAGAGGAAAGTTTATTAAAACTGTGCCCCTCACCTGGGAGATGGAAGTGATTGTGTTTACCCTGCCTCCTCAATTTGCTGCCTCCTGTTTCTGCTGTATGGGAACCCTCAGCCAAAATTAAGCACTTTTAATGGGGGAGACTTAAACAGTAAAAACTAAAACAAAGAACTATTGCGGCACCTTAAAGAGCAACCAGTTTATTGAGGTATTTCCATTAAAGCCACAACTTCTTTCTGTTGCTCCAGAGGGCAGGGCAACAAGAAATGGGTGGAAATAGCAAGGAAGCAGATTAGAAGACACTTCGTAACAATAAGCTATCTAACTGGTGTGGGCTGCCTTGGGAGATGATTTCTTTCAATGAAGGGGTTGGGTTTTTTGTTGCATTTTTTTGCGAGGGTATATTACAAGTCAAAGCCATAAAACTACAGATGAAAAACAAAACGGAATACAGAGTGAATGCAGGAAGGAGACAATGTTACACCATAAACAAGCATCCTTAGATAAGGTGGAGCTGACAAAGTAGTAATTATAATTGTTATTCTTTGTAAAATATTTTGGTGGAGGTTTTTCAACAGAGGCAGAATCTGTCAAGGTTGCAGCAGTTCATTAGTTGGGAACCTGTGGATATTGCCAGGCTACAAATCACCCCAGACCACTGGCCATGCTGCGAGAAGCAAAGTTACAGGGAACAAGGCAGAGGGCCTTCTCGGTAGTGGCACCCACCCTGTGGAATGCCCTCCCATCAGATGTCAAGGAAATAAGCAGCTATCTGACTTTTAGAAGACATCTGAAGGCAGCCCTGTTTATTTTTAGTATTTTGTTGAAAGCTGCCCAGAGTGGCTGGGGAAACCCAGCCAGATGGGCAGGAAACAAACAAACAAACAAACAAACAAACAAACAAACAAAAGTTATAATTATTATAATTATAGGGTTTATGGTAGTTCATTTCCAATACTACCTGGAGGGCCACATATTTCTGTCATGTCATGGTTGCATTGTAGGTTCTGCCCTCAGTAGGGGATTAGACAAGACTGAGCAGGAGATTAGACCTCTAAGATCCTTTTCCAACTCTGAAATTGTATGATTCTATAATAAAAGGTGCCAGACTTTAAGGTTTCACAAGTCTTTGCCAGATAGCTCTCTGGGATTAATCATGATGGATGACAGTTTAGAAGATCTGTCCTTAGGACTTTGCTTTCTTTTCTCCCAGTCTCTCACTTTTTGTGAGAGGCAGCTGGCATCTTACTCTAGGAAACAGGATGGTGGGTTAGACAAGTCTTGGGTGTGAAACCAGTGGGGCATAAAAAGTGCTTAACTTCAGCTGCATCGTACCCAACGTGTGTTACTCTGCTAAAGGCTGAGGTTAGTGTATAACTAACTAAACTGACCCTTTTGAGAGTGCACTTTCTCATTCTAATTACTCATTACTCATTCTAATATAATGCTATTTATTAGTGCTCCTGGAAGGCTATTCAACCACTGAAATCATGCCTGTATATACATTTTTGTGTTGTTTAAATTGTTTTCAAAAAAAAAAGAGTGAAAACAGTGATGCGTAATAGTGTGCATAAATAAGACAAGCATATAAAGACAGAAGAGGCCTGTAAGAAGGTCTTAACAATGCTACAAAATGTAATAAACCGCAAGTCATTTTTGAGTATTGTAATTAAAGGCTCTTTGTGACAATTAAATTACAAATACATCTGCTCTACAGGATGATACAGTAAAATCCTGAATGAAATATATTTTATCACGGGGAAAATATTGATCAAATATCTTGCAGAGGTAATTTGGTATCTTCCATGTGTTCAATGCATTCAGATTCCTGTTTAGCTTTATCTTTCAACGTTTATTACATTCCTCATTGTGATCAACCTATTAATAAAGATTTGCATGCCAGATCCTAGCACTGCCCGGAATATGCAGAAAAGGTGCTGTAGAAAATGATGAAAGTCATTATTGTGAAATCTGGAACAAGAAAAATCGCCTGAATCCACTGCCTAAAATTATGGGACAGAATAAAGGATCATCTTCTTGGTCTCCCTTCTTCCAACTTCTTTGTCCACAAAGGGAGAGTGTCTTGTTTAGGAGCAGAAATAGGCCCACTTTTCCTGAGATACTTCTGTAATGTGAACATACCAGAAGGATAAAAATCCAAGACAGGACCCCGGTGTCACATTAAGGTCAAGACTTACAGCAACAGAATTCTGGTCTACAAAATGAAACTTGATACTACTTGATAGCTAGATACTACTTATTAAAGCAACCAGGATCTCTGAACTGTCTTAAAAGAAGGTGACTTTCACAATTCAAAAAGCAAACCCCTGTAACCCCTGTCCAAAGATATACATTTTGTCAAGCTCTGGAAGGTTCTGTTTGCTTTTATCTTTTCAGATATTATTGTCAGATATCACAATATCTCTTAGAGCAGGAATATACTGCACTGATTTCAGTTAAATTTGCTTCCAGATAGTAAGTCTAAGGCTGCAGTGGACTTCTGTGCCTGCCTAGAAGGAAATAAAACCATTAAACTCCGCGGAACTTTCACCCTAGTAAATAAGTTGAGTGCTGGACGGAGACTCACAGATTGCTTATTGGCAGTCTGTGGGGCAAAACTAGATGTGATGTTAGTCATATGTTTAAACAAGTATCATATAGTTAATTTTTCTAGAAAGAGAGGTGCCGGAACTCACCATGAATATCTTCCTTGTCTTATCATGTCAACTGCACCCACCTGAAAGGTGCCGGAACTGAGTAAGTTCCAGCTGAAAAAAAGCCCAGTAGTTAACCACATTGCTTTTACTTTGGGACAGGAGAAACAGGGTCACCGATCCACAATATGCATGCAATTTGGGAGGTTGGTTGATAGTTTTCTGCTGAAAATTGGTCCCTTCTGGCTGCTTTCTGCACCCCCTTCCCCCAAAAGTGCTGATTACTGTAAACTACACGTTTGAGATCGAATAGCAGTAAACTGTTTTAGGGGCTGTTTTAGTAAACTGTTTTCAGGATTGGAGTCTTACAAAATAAAATAAAGTGGCCAGGTCATTAAATATGTGATTAATGTCCCTTTTAGTTTGGCCCTGAAGCATTTACTACTGATAATATAATGCAGCGTTTGTGCACCGATATTCTTTTGCTACCTCTCAGGTAAATGTTTTCTGGGAATTCCTAGGACTTTGCTATGATGGTTATTTGTATGAATTATTTGGAATTTCTAGTTGAATATAAGACTTAGGGCTCATTCCATTATACTTGGATGTCACTGAAAATGTTTCTAGGTGGCAATGCAAATTTTTTCAGCTACCTGTATTTGGTACATGGGGTGGAACAATGATCTTTGAACCAGTCTTCAGGAAACTGCTATGGGCGGTCTTTGAGAAACCAACTGGAGACAACCACATACTGTAATTTATTTTGTAACTGCTATGTCAAAGTAGGTACTTATGTTTAGATACTGTTTTTCAACACTGAAGAGCAGGAAATGGACTTCTTTCTGTTGATGGAGAATCTCTGCACGACTACAATCTCAACTGGAAGTATTTTTGAAGAACACGACAGTAAGCTCAAAGCAGATACTACTGTGGATATGACAGCAAGTTTTGTATGAATTATGTTATAAATCTGGACTCGTGTAATATATTTAATTGTAAGTCTTTTGCACAACTTGTTTGTGTAGTTTGGAATGAGACTATTACATGTGTCAGACTTTATAATTTGTCTTGAAACACAAATATTTCTAATTTTATTGTATTATATAGTGTATGCTTGTTTGTGTGTGTGTTTTTTTAAAAAGAACCCCCATTTTATATGGTACTGTAATGATTTATCTTTGTATGTGGTTTTGTTTAAAAGGAATTTATTTATTTATTCTGAAGTTTATTTCATAGCCCTCCAGGCCTAGATAACAATGGGTTCTTGTGGGAATCACATTTAACCTTTTTTTTTTTAATGCCGTGACACAGTCCACTATTTTGCAGATCATCACAATAAACCACCTCAGTGAGGGCCCCATGGTGTTATGTGATGTTTCAGATGTTTTTCATGAATGGCAGGTGCATGAGTGCAAAGACATTGGGGAGGCAGGGTTCACAACAAGCTTCACGAAGGTGTACCCTTAGACAGCCACAAGGTACAGCAAATAAATAAGTAAAATAATTTATTTATAGGAAAGAGTAATTCTTAAATTTTGTCACCTTTTTTATACTATAAATAAGGATATAAAAGGGGATGCGGGTGGCGCTGTGGTCTAAACCACAGCGAATCCCCACAACAGGGTGAGCTCCTGTTGTTCGGTCCCTGCTGCTTCAAAAGCATGTCAAAGTAGATAAATAGGTACCACTCCGGCGGGAAGGTAAATGGCGTTTCTGTGCATTGCGCTGGTTCACCAGAAGCGGCTTAGTCATGCTGGCCACATGACCCGGAAGCTGCACGCCGGCTCCCTCGGCCAATAAAGCAAGATGAGCGCCACAACCCCAGAGTCATCCACGACTGGACTAAACGGTCAGGGGTCCCTTTACCTTTAAGGATATAAAAATTCATTACTGGATCAGACCAAGATCTATGCAGCCTTTGCCAGAGTTCAGCATTTTTTGCCAATGGTGTATACAACCAAATGAAATCTGCAGTCTTTTATTAGCTTGTTGTTATTGTTCAAAATGTTGGGACAGCCACTGTCAAAAGGCGGAAAAGTTTATCAGATTCACCCTTGATCAAAGACTGAAAGAGCAGTTACATATATTACAGCTCTTGGACAGACAAGACAGGAATACTGAAGACATGACACAGCACACGTTGTTCCCTGGGACGTTAAGTAAGGCGTCAGTTTTACATTTTTTTTCAAAGTCAGAGGATTAACAGGTCTTCCTGGCATCAGAAAAACATTCCCCTCCCTTGGCCTACACATCTCATAAACACGGGCTTAATTTAAAACAGGGCTCACTGGGACAGTAGCCTTAGGATCTAGGTCCAATGCCAAGCGGCAAAACCTGAATATATGAAGCCAGAATATTGATCCACTGGATTATCTAGAGATAAAGTTATTTCCTAAGTTTGGTACTTCTTAAAAAATGGACAGAGGTTCTGTGCCTTGGGTATTTAAGGCGGGAGTATAGCTCATTTGTTGTACACACTATTGTCGCCAACAGTTAAAATGAGCTTTGCTAGAAGGTGTGTATGCCAAAGGGATAAATCCTTTTTATTTGTGGCTAAAGAAGATGATCTGTGTTGACAACCTTGCTGCCATTATTGTGAAGGATAAAGAAGCGTACAATCCCAAGTGCTCTGAAAATATTTCTGTCCTCTCTCTCTCTCCCATCACTCCACAATTTTAGCTGTACTGTAATATATCAGTATGAGGAGCTTTCTGCCTCATTGTGCATCTTGGTTTGTTGGTTTATTTTTGGCACTCAGATTTGCCCTTCCGCGTTAAAATATTGATAGAATCATAGAATTGTAGCATTGGAAGTGACCCTGAGGATCGTCTATTCCAACTCTCTGCAATGCACGAATCTCGACTGAAGCATCCATGACAGATGGCCATCCAACCTTTGCTTAAAAACCTCCAAGGAAGGACAGTCCACAACCACCTGAGGGAATCTGTTCCACTGTATTCGTTCCACTGATAGCTGTACTCGTCATGACTTGGTTTAAGTCTCTTTTAAAGGTATTCACTACATCTTGTAATATATACCCATCGCGTTGGCTGTTGGTTCCTACTCAGGGAAATGTTATATACCGGTATTCTCCATCTTGCCATAGCTAGAACTACACTATAGTAGAATACAACAATTGCTTAGTTTCAAAGCTCACCAGTGTCAGACCTCAAAATCTGTTTCATACTCCAGCATTTATACTGCCAGTTCTCCCCCCACCCCTGCCCACCTCCCCACAGGCTGGGAGTGCTAATGTGCAGAGTGCCTTCCTAACCGTATAGAATAACCACAGCCATAGCAAGTTGCCTGGAAGTGACTCTAGCAAAATAAGCTGACATAAAAGGACTAGACCGTGCAGGGGACAGCAAACCTTTTCAGCAGTGGGCTGATCCACTGTCACTCAGATCTTGTTGGGGGGCGGCAGACTATATTTTTTTTGGGGGGGGGAGGGAATGAACAAATTCCTATGTCTCACAAATAACCCAGAGATGCGTTTTAAATAAAAGGACACATTCTACTCATGTAAAAACATGCTGATTCCCAGACTGTCTGTGGGCAGGATTTAGAAGGCGATTGGGCTGGATACGGCCCCCGGGCCTTAGTTTGCCTACCCATAGACTACAGTGTCTCATATTTCTCCTTTTTTAAAAAATGCAAATGTACAATAAGGGACAATATGCTCTATGTTAAATACACAACACAAACAAATATGCATTGTATAAGGCTCCTCTCCCTGGATCCGAGTGTTATAGGAATTTATTTTTTAAAAGATAAAATCTGATTTACTGGCTATTAAAGAAGGGAGCAGATTCAGTTCCCCAGGCTCCTTATTTCTTTCCAAACAGCAGACTGCAGGTGAGACATAGGCCTTTTTAAAACAGGCTGCATTTAGCTGTTTTTTATTTTATTTTTATTTTATTATTTTTTGTACCCAGTCCATCTGACTGGGTTGCCCCAGCATATGGCTTCCAGCATATGTAAAACAAAATAAAACATTTAAAAGCTTCCCTATACTGTAGAGGGCTGCCTTCAAATGTCTTCTAAAAGTTATTCATCTCCTTAACATCTGATGGGAGGGCATTCCACTACGAGAAGGCCCTCTGCCTATATTTCTGCTAGAAAGAGTGTTCAGACCACAGAATTAAGCAACTTTTATTTACATGGCACCTGAAAGACCATGTTCCACTTCTACCACTAAGGTGGGCGGGGGGACCTTTTCCATCCCAAGGGCCACATTCCCTTGTGGGCAAATTTTCAGGGGGCCCCATGACCATGGCAGATGTGGGCCAGTGCAGCGGGCACGGCAAATGGATGTGACTCTTACCTTTGTAGCGCTGATGACATTCCGGCCATGGAAAGACAGAAGTCGATGACTGTCTCTCTCTTCCTCTGTCTCCATCCAGGCATGCATGAGGCATTGTAACAATTCAAGGACACATTCCACCCAGGCAAAAATATTCAAGTAGAGTACACAGCAGGACTAGTGAGATGTGTGGTCTGAGGAGAGGGTGTTTGACCTGGAGAGAATCCCCAAAGGCAAGGGAGAGAGGCCTAGGCACTTGCTTTAGGTCTCAAAACAAGAAGAGGGGGCTAGGCTGTTCCTTCTCAGGGAGAGTCGTCTCTCTGTATTAGTCTTCCATTTTAGGAAGAGCTTCAACTTTTGCCTTTAGATTTTTATTTCAGCTGTTTTATTGTTGTTATTTTACTCCAAGACTGATTTTACTCACTGCCTGTAACTCCAGCTGTTGGTTTTAATGTTTCTCGTTGTTTTGAAGCAAATATTTGATGTGTTTTGTTTTGTTTTGTTTTTGTTTTACTTATTTTTGTTCATCGTTCTTGCGGTTGCATTTTGTGCATCCTGGTTAGGAAATCGGTACTGTCGGGAAAAGTGGGGTGTTAATGTGTTAAGCAATAAATAATTATAATAAACGCACAAGTTATGTTGCACAGTTCCAGGATTTGAAGAACTGCTAAAGCATTGACCTAAGGGAAAGTGTTGTTGTTTTTCTGTTGTAGTTTTCTGAAAGAATTAAAGTGCTCATATTGTAAGTGAAGATAACTAAACTAATTTATGAATACTGTACTGTACTCAAATTTCTCTATAAAGGTTTTCCTA